CAGAAAGCCTGGTTTGCCTTCAAGAGGTCAGCTGCTCCACTTAAGGCAAGTCACGTTTTTCTTACTTCCAGCGGGCCTGCAGAAGTTGTAACGCTAAATTTTGCCGGGCGGTTCTGGGAAAATGCCTGATTGACTTTGAGGTCTTTTTGGCTTGGGTTTTTGCTCCGTTCATGTGTTCCGACCTCAGCTGTTTGCGTTTATCTTGCTGATGCCAGCTGCCAAGTGGTGCCAAGGTGCTTCAACGCTATTAATTGTATTCGGAAAGGAAAGCAGCAGGTTTCGTGAATATTGGCTGCGTCAGATGCTGGAGTGCAGCCTGGCAAATGCACGAGCGCTAGCAAGCAGTGGAGGTTGTGCGAGCTCGTGAAATTGCCTTAAGGCACACAAAGAGCCGGCGCGGCCTTTCAGAAGCCAATCTGCCGCAGTTTCGTGTGGCATGGGTGAGAATACACCGAGCGCTCGCATGCCCAAGGTTCGGTCAGTGGCTTTCGATGCGGCCGGATATGTTTCCGCCAGATGTGATTGCTGTGCTTAGCAAGCTTCGGGCGGATGCACCAGCACATTCCGGAGCCGTTTGTCGTCATTATTTGCTTTGTGCACAAGGCGCTAAAGTTTGTCAAGTTGCCGCAGGTTGTTTCTCGAAAGATGCTGAAGGATCACCTTGGCAAGGCCATGTCATCCATCATTTTGTGAGAAAACCAAATGAGATTTCAATTGTCAGGATGTTGATGAGCTCTTCGATGAATTTCAGGCTTTGCTACCTAACATTCGTGAGAGTTTCCAGTGTGGACGACTCGTCAGGAAGAGCCCGTGGCCAGTGGCTCGGTGGGTCAAGTGCATCGGGCCCGCCTGAGAGCCGAGCATGCGCTAGACGGGCCAGGCTCGCCAAGTCAGATGCGAGGGCCCCACCCGTTTTTTCATGTGCTGGAAGGTGGGCAGCTACGAGATGTAGCCGTGAAGATACAGCACCCTGGAGTCATCGACAGTGCCTTCATGGATCTTAACATCGTCGCGCTGCAGCACGTTTTGTGCGAAGCAACGGCTTGATTGCACTCCTTGACAGGTTGTCATTTTGCTTCTGCCGGTCGTCTGCTTGGGTGCTCAGGTCTGGAAGATTGTGGAATTTTCCGAGAACTTTTTGCATATGACAATGCCGTTTGACAGGTGCACGTGTGCTTCGATTTTAATGTGCTGTAGCACCACCTCCTCAGCAACGTGCGTCTGTTTTCGATTAAGCAGCACTGCGCAGGAGCGATTTTGATGAAGTGATCCAGGCTCAGATGGACTTTACCAGAGAAGCTTTCAATCTTCAGCGCCCTGTGACCAGATTATTTGTAACTTTTCTTGAGCTCCGTAGTGACTGCAGATGTGTGGAGTTGTCGGCTGTCCAGGTTTCGCGCGCAATTTCAAAGGGGAGCGCCGGATAAGGCATGGCTGTCATGTTTCAGCAGTATGCAAGCTCACTCGCGGAAGAGGGTCCGTGGAGGTTTCCAAAGGTTTCGTCACGGCTCGTGACACCAGAAGTCCTTGTGGAGACCTGGGAAAACGGCGAGATCATATCCAACATTATGGAGGACTGCGCTGCCAACAGTGCTGCGGCTGTGCGCCGGCTCGTGTAAGTAGTTTGGCTTGGACACACGCAGCTGCTCGAGACAGGCATGTCTTCTGGAGCTTAGCACTGCTGCGTGTGCAGTTTTCTCAGACCGGCCCTGCTTACTTACTCATGCCAGTGGTGAGATGTGGTGAGCTGCCAGAGGTTTTCTTTGCAGTCAAGGAGCTAAGCACCCAACTTGGGCAACTTGGGCAATTCCGGTCCATCTCCGACTCGGCCTCAGGTGGACTTTCTCACGCCGAGCTTCTTGTTTGTCGTCCTGTCTTTTATCTTTGTCCAAAGACGCCGTACCTCTTCCCGCTGAAACTTCGCTGGTGCAGTATTGTTGATCTGTGCATAGGCTTGAGGTCCTGAATTAGGAAGATTGTATCGGAATGCTATTCTGCACTTGAGCTCCACATCGAGTCAAGTGTGGCCTTGACGAGTCTGACTGCCGGTGCGGTATACTTCTGGTTTGCAAATTGGCGCCACCTGAAGCCTCAAACTCTAAGCCCTATCCGCCTAGCCACCCCCAAACTGGGCCCCAAGCAATGTAGTTTGACATCTAGGACCCCAAGGCGCAAGATTTTGAATCCTGGGCCCAGGCCCAAAGCCGGAACCCTGAACCCTTACCCATGACAAGCTTTGGTTGCGATCAGTGCCGTTGTTAGAGCTGTGTCCAACAATCTTTGCCGTCATTGTCGTGTTTTTTTTTTCTGTCTCTTTTGCTTGTGGCTTTTCTGCTTTTGGCGCTGATTGCAGCCATCCCGCAAGAACCGGAACCGTCATGGCAAGAAAAGTAATGGCCAAATAGAATTAGTGAAAGCATGCGTAGGTAAGAAAGGCAATAACAATCATGGTGTTGGTTGAATACTGCTGCTGCTGCTACTACTACGACTACTGGTGCTGCTGCTGCTGCTGCTGCTGCTGCTGCTAGTCTCCTAGTGCTACTACTACTACGACGACGATGATGACGACGTGGTGTAAATAATGGTAATTACAGAGTTGGTGACAGCAGGAACAGGCCAAGAAAACAAGAAGCAGGAAGCTGGAAGTAGAGAGTAGGAAGCAGAAAGTACGGAGCAGAAGCACAAAAAAGAGCAAGAGATAATAATGATAGAATTGTACACCTAGCATTGTTATCACTGCTAGTACGGCCCTTATCACTGTTACTGCCGCAGCCACCACTCTAACCATCATTGCTGCAAATTCGAGGTATAATGTGAAGCTGTTATCCCTGTCATTGCTATCAATAATAGAAGGAATATCATTCAGGCTGTCATTGTTTCTGATGTGATGGTTGGAATCACGGCCGACAATATTTTGTTTCTTGCCTCCATGATTGTTCGTACTCCTACGACCTTTTTCCATTCTATTGTTATTTCTGACATTGTTACAATTCAAGGTACCGCTGCTATTCCTGCCAGTAGTATACTGAGCGACTACGATTATTAGTGCCATTGCTGTTACTATCATTGTTCAACTATGACGGCATTGTTACTGCTGCTGCTCGCAATTTAGCAAATGATTGAATTTCCACTTCGCAAGTAAGTATTTGTATCTAGGTTGTCCAGGATCCACCATGATGCACCGAAATTCCAAACTACTTCCAGGTGTGAATTTGGGGACGGACCCGACAAAACGATGTGGTGAGACAAAACCATATCTGCCCAAGCAAGCAATAGAGAAGGCAATTCCAAAATCTTTTGCAAGTGGGCTGAGAAGTTTAATAACCAGCCTGAAAGGATTTGGCTTGGTGTTGTCCGGTTTCCTGCCGACGCATGAGCAGAGACAACTCTCGGGCAAGTGATGCAGTGGAGGATTTCGACAATGCCAAAGCTGCATGCCAAGACGCTATGACTGCGCTGGAGAAGAAGAAGCGCGAAGTTCAAGGCGGGACATGGCACAATGGCACACGATCGCACTTCGTCACTGTTCTTGGTGTTGACTTCAGGCGATCTCTCCAAAATACTGTATGATATGAGCATGAAGATGATGGTTCGGGATAATTTTGTTCATGGCGACTTACATGGTGGAAATATTTTGTATTCGGAGAATGACGACCACGTCACGGTCCTTGATGCTGGAATTGCAACATCACTGGACAAGGGAACTGTTGCACCCTTTGGCGGGGATGCCCAGACTTGCAGAGCTGAGTTGAAAATGTGCACTGGTGCAACGACGCCTGTTGTCTAAGGAAGATTTTTGCACGCCCTTTGTTCTGGGCAGACTGAGAAGGTGGTTGAATATCTACAACGATTCAACGAGTCTGACATGGCAGCTGTGCTCAAAGGTTCAGTGCAGTAGGAACACAAGTCCCATGCCTTGCTCAGGTAGTGAACACCAAGCAGCTGCATGTGGACATACAAAGGACCATGGACAAGTGTCTTGCTCACAACTCCACATCCGTTGTAGTGTGGCACTTTAGCCGCTGCAGTTCCCACTGATGACCGCAGCTAGTGCCCATTTGCATCCATGACTCCTTGCTCAAGGTACATGGGGCCTTTCCGAATAGACAAGGAGGGGCCGCTGAACGCAGCGGACATGTTTGGAGAAGTTATGTTCACTTTGCAGAGGCATGGCACCACCAGAGGAGGATTTTTGCTTTTACATTTGACTTGCGTCGGCTCCCGTGCTGAAAATTGTGATCTTGCCATCTAAGGAGACATGGCATGCTTCTCAAGGGTGACGTGGCGTCTACGCTTTTTACAATATCAATCAGTGAGGGCTTGGTGCGTCAGCTAGATCCATCCTTTGATGTGGCGAAGCAAGCCTTGCCATATATCACCAGATACATGGGTTTTGATTTTTCGCATAGATGACACAGTAGCTGGTCGATGCTCTCAGTTTCACTGATGATTTGCCACGCCACTCGGGATGCCATTCAAATATTGCCTACACGAAGGTGTGGCTGTGGTTGGCTTGATGTCCCCTGTGCAGTTGCACGACAGCTGCAGTAAATGAATGCGCGAAGCTGGCTTCTTGCAGCTGGCGCGGTCATGGTCGAAAAATCCGTTTTTTTAAAGGTGCGAGTGCCACTAGCACCGCATGTCTTCAGCTTACGGAGCTTTTGCAGTCTTTGCATGCCCTTGCTTGGAGGCCAGAAGACTTTCTTCTCCAGACCAGAGTCCCTGCCAGAACTGCGCAGGTGCGCTAGCCTGCTCTGTTGGCTAGGTACTTTTTTCTAAGCTGTGGTCTAAATTCCCAGTACCTCCCTTAACAACCCCTGTAACACTCCCCTGTATAATCCCCTATAAATCGCCCTTAAAGGAGTTTAGACTATGGCTCGTGTGCCTGCTTGTGCTTGCGGTCCAGCTGAAAGCATCTCTGTAAAAGAAGATTCATGCTCTGGCTTGCTGCAAGCCTTTGGCCCGACCAAGCGCTTGCTGCGCCTCAGCTGCCTGCCGGCATGGCAGCAACTCGCCGGCACGTCGTTTGTTACTTTCCTCTGGGTTTGCTGGAGCTGCTAAGCGGCACTCATGTGTCCTAGATAGGCGCCAGTGCGATGGAGCCTGCTGCTGCTTTTCCTGAGAAACTTGGCATGCACAATGCGCTTTGCAGATGCATGTCCTTCATTGTTTTCACAAGGTTTTCATTGCCGTGCAGCCTTGCTGGCTTGCTTGAGTGTTCGGAAGAACTCAGCCTAAGAAGATCGTGGCGGATCAACCCAAATTCAGCGAGATGCTTACCCGCGGCTACCTGATGTAAGAATGAAGGGCGTGTGACGTTGACTGCACCGGAGCAAATCGGTTGTGCATAAGTGCAAGTGCCGGATTAATTGCAAAAAGGAACCAGCAGGTCAACAGAGGCAGCACGTTGCAGTGTACGGGTATGCTGCATGTCAGAAAGCTCAACTGCCAATCCCAAGTTCACTACGGTCCGCGCTCCGCATTCGAAAGTAGAAATTCAGGATTTGTCGAAAAGCTTCTCGATCAGCTGGTGTGAAATTCGGATCTTCACGAATCGATGATGATGGAATTGAAGTTGAGTGTGGGCAGTTTTTTTGTAAGACTTGGGGGAACATTGGAATCTGCAGGAACCGGTGGACGTTGAATCAGTTTCGAATAAATCCTGAAGGAGTCGTCTGAACATGTGAGGGCTTTGTTGTCAGAACGGAAACTTTGCAGGACAAGCAGATTTTTTGTATCATTGGGCCAGCAACACAAATCAAGAACCAGAGCCCAACTTTTTGAGGGCTGCCGGGCTGTTCTTTAGGCAGGGCGGCGTGGGCGGGGGTGTGTTACAAAAAGCCGGTACTCAAGAACAGTCAGTTGAAGAAAATTGACTTGATTTTGGATGCCGACATTCTTTTCTGGACGCGAAGTTTTCTGTGGCATCATAGCGGAAAACTAAAGAGAGTGGTACGAAATACTGGCCTGTGTTTTTACATATAAATCTGCTGTTTTTTTAACATGATTTTACATCAACTTTTGCATTTTCGTACCACTCTCGAATAGGACCCGTGTAAAGCTACAATTGTGGTTCGAAACCCAAGTCATTGTCGCTGTAGCATGTCAGATTGCCAAGTGTAGCAGCTGACCAAGTTTTAAGGTGAGCCTGAGGGTTATCATACAAGATTTAAGGTGAGTCTGAAGGTTATCGTAGCAGGATTTAAGGTAAGTCTGAAGGTTATCGTAGCGGGTTTTAATAAAGGTGAGCGCCGGGTTCCCCCTCCCTGTGTGAAGTTGAGCGAACAATCGGATGGAGGCACCGAAGCCATAGACTTGTTCAAGCTGTTACAAGCAACAGACGGGCTCGCATACTTATTTGTGGAAGGCCCCCCCCCCCGCACAGCAGCAAGTGATTTGCTTGGATGTGACTCAAGCTAGCAAAGACATTCATCGAAGGCTTTGACATGGCAAAAGACCAGAGGAACCTCTTGTCAGTCGTTTGTTTGTGCCTGCAGCGTGGAAGGAGGTGGACATCTTTTCCGATCTGTTGCAAGAGCGCGCGCAGGTCTAGAACAAAAGGAAGTTCCACTTCCTATCAACATGCCTGCTAAGTCAGATGCGGCATCCTTAAATTTCGCACAAAAGCTCGCAAAATGCGAGTAAGACATGCTCGCGAGAGCCTTCAATAAAGCGTTGTTGCAGTTGCACTCTCCTTCAAGCTAGAAGTGCGCAACGACCGATGAAGTGTTTCTGAAACAGGACCTGCAAGCAAAACATTGGCATCAGCTGGCAAATCACGTGTTCGGCAGTTGTGGCCTGCAATTAACGCTCCCTATGCACTGCTTGAGTAGCCTACCATGCATGCAAGTGGTCCATACGCAATGGCTATCAGTAGCTCATGAGGAGGAGCTGTTGTTTTTACAGATGTCAAGTGTCTTCACGACCAGAGATGCCACGTCAATCCGCTGTTGCAAGGGGACGATTTCAGAGTACCTGAGGTCTTCTTGCCATCTTCGCAGCAAGCGAGGCTAGTGGGCAAGAGGCATCTGGGAACATGCAAACCAGCTGCGACAGTGCACCGGAGAAGATTGTGCTAGTAACTGTTCAGGGGGCAGATCTGGATGAGGACGCCTTCTTGTTTTTGTGTAGATGAAGCAGTGCTAGCTGCAGTTTGCCCATGCAGCGTAGCAAGTCGCAAGTGTCACGAGCTTTCGCATGTCATGCTATCAGCGAAGTGATGGCAGGACGATGAAGATGAAGATGAATTTCCAGAGTCCGTCAAAACTCTTACTGACAGCAAGCAGCTCAAATCTTCTTGACATCTTGCAGGATGAGTGCAAAGCCACTGTCCGTTCATGCAAGGCACCTTTCAGGAGTTCATTAAGACCAACGAGCGAGTGCTGGTAGAGTTCTATGCGTTCCTTGCTAAGCAAAGTGAAATTGTGCCGTAGCCGCTCGAGGGGCCATGGGCATGTCCTGCCTAATGATGGAGATTGTGACGAGGCCTTGGTGTGGTCACTGTCAGCAGCTGGAGCCGCAGTACAACAAAGCGGCCGACGCACTGCGAACCACAGACAAAATTCAGTTGGGAAAGGGCTGGTCCAAATCGGGATTGCCACGGCATGCCACGGCACACTGTTAGAGTTTCAATTTGAGGAATGGAAGGAGCGAAAACAATGCTGGCCAAGGCAACTCAGTGAGACTTTGCATGCAATCTGTGAAGTCTGCGGGTGGCAGGTTGATGCCACGGCAGAGACTGCGTTGGCTGAGCAATACCAGGCTTCTGCACAGCTGTGCAGATTGGCAGGTTCTCCCATACCAAGTATCACTAATTGTGCAAAGCACGGTCTTGGCAGCAAGCTGCAAGTAGATGGAGCCTGACGAAGCCATCCTGGCGTGCATGACTGACGAGCTTGGAGGTGCAATCATATCCGACACTTAAATATTTTGTGGGAGGAGGCCGGAGCCAGGGCTGGTGAGCTATATTGCAGGCAGCAATTTTCCTGATTCTCAGGGGATCCTGTTGATTACGACGGTCCACGTGAAGCAGATGGCATTGCGGAATGGCTCAGCGCCTCGGCTTTGAACTGGGTTTCGCTGGCTTCAGGGGCTTCAGGCCCTTCTGAATGCTCGAAGCATTGCGAAGCCTGCCATAGCTTTACTCAGGAAAGAGAGAAACGCCAGCTGTGGAGGAGATGAAAGAATCAGAGGCACACCATCAGCCGGAGCACACCATCAGCCAAGAGCGTTCTGAATGTTGCCAAGTCAAGTGCTGCTGTAAGCTAAGCTGCTACGCTTTGAGGTGGATGCCTGGGTTCAGAAGCACTTGGAAGCAAAAGCGTTCGTGCTTCGGCAACTCTTGGCCTGCTGTGGCGTTGCTTGGACTTTGGATCAGCAACGCTGGCCCTTGAATCTCAGGCAACTGTTGCCTACGTCAAGAAGAAGTCTGCGCGTGCCAAGGTCCGTCATTCCTTTTGCATGTGACAGCGGGCAGGACTGCATCGGCTTCAGGCTTTTGCCAAGGCAGCGGAAAGCCTTGTTGACTACAAGGGCGCAAAATTGAGGTGGGGCATTTTTCCGCAACCTCACTGGCGCCAGCTGGTAGACATCTTGCTTTGGTACCCTGCTAGATTTGCAGCAGTATGGCTGCCAAAAGCGGCCGATCCAAAGAAGGATGCTCGCCTTGCGATCTCACGTCTGAGCCCGAGGAGCTGTCAGCTCCAGACATGTTCAAATGGTTTTTGTACCGGAAGAAAGCCATCTTTGAGTCGCAGGTCCCTTGGGTGATCCAGAAGCCAAGAAGCTGGACTCATGCTTGTTGTATTTGGTTGTGCTTTGCCACGTATAGTCCTGCTTATTGAAGTTGAAGATGTTTACGGGTAATGAACTGAAGTTGTTCCTGGTCTTTTCCTCCTTGCAGGACTTCTCTGGTTCATGGACGGATACTGGACTGGCCAAGTGGATCAAGTACCTGGACTGCATGATGCAGTTGGTTTAGCTTCTCTAGCTGGAGATCGTGCAAGGCAGAGCACATACGCGCTGGTGGGTGAATCCTTTACCTTGACCAAATACTCTGGGGAGGTGTGGAAGCTGTAGGGCCCTGTGTTCTGAGTTGCTTGTGCAGCTTTCAATGTGACAAGGCCATGCAGGAGGTTGGAGCCAAAGGACATCGGCTCGGAAGTCATCGCTTGAAATAATGTGGAGCTTTGTTTGTTGAGGTTTTGTGTTGTTTCGAGGCTCAGTGATTGGCATTTTCGGCGAAGAGGATGCGGGTAGAGCCCTGGCCAGCCTCATGCAGAAGGCAGAATCGGGTTGTGGTGCCTCGATTGGTCTATTAATGGCCTTCATCGAAAACGACGAACACGTCTGAGTGCACTCTCTTTTCCATGCACGTTGCAGGTGGCCCCAGGAGAATCGAGACTTGTTGGCAATCATCAGTAAGGAGCGGGCAAGTGGCATCCGAGAACAGAAGCTACTTGATCCGAGTCAATGGCGCTTTGCTACCAGCCCGTCATCAAAGTTGGAGCAGAGCGACTTGGACGCGCTTGGCGCCAGGCCCGTTCTCATCTCAGTTTGTCGGAGAGAGCTTGTGCTCGGCGTCTCCCCTCAGTGCCATGACTTGAGGATACCCTTCCACAGATCTCAGTGCTGTGTCACGAGAAGAAGTATGTCCTGAAGGACTCTTGTGCATTGGCTTTCTGTTCTGTTGCGTGTGTTTTTTTCGCAAATCTCAAAGGACACGACAGAGGAGGCCGCTGGTCCAGCAGAGATCTAGTAAGAAGGTAGCTTGGCAAAGTGCCTAGAGCCTAGGGCTCATCTAGCGAAGGCCCTGAAACAATTCCTTGCGGACGTGCTTGCCAAAAAAGCCAAGCCGCGCCACGGCTGAAATCCAATGCATACCTCTGAGAAGGGAAGGCTGAGCCATGTTTAGTCTCAGAGTGTCAGGTACTACAAGAGTGCAGCGCCTCCGAGCCAGGCATCAGCGGTTGAAAGAGCTGAAATTCGTCAGCTTTGCTCTGTGCTTTGTAGGCAGTTGAAGATGGCGTTACAGTGTTGACAGGCACTTGGTGCAAAGGGTCCGCAAAGCAACATGTGCGCCAAGATCAGGTGAGCGTTGTGCATGCTTGGAGGTGATACATTTGAAAAGGTGGTCCTGGATGCCAAGAAGGATGTTTTTGCATCTAAGCTGCAATATTCTTGCATGAAGCCTCTGTGTGGTCAAGCGCATTTTCAGGCCTCTACTTCCAAACCATGGATGCATATCAGTAAATCGTGTGCATAGCGCTTGCAGCATCCAGTGGGCCAAAGGTCGAGTTCTATGCGCCTCATGCTCAGACAGCCGTAGGGCTACAATGCTGGGCATCCTCCGCGGCATGAATTTGGCATGCACCTGCGAGCAAGCCTGCGCGAGTCAGCGAGCGAGAGAGATGAGCGACAGAGAGAGGGATGGCGGAATTTCTTATCTCGCAGCATTAACTGGGTGGGACCGAACCGTGGGGCTGCGAGCTGTGCTCGTGGGAGGCCGTAAGGGCCTCCTGGAGCCTGAAGAAGAGATGGCAGACTAAGCGAAACGGTCGGAATAGGTCAGAAGCCAATCAACCCTTCCTCGTCTGCGCAATTCTTCAGTGTGACGCTGAGGGACGTTTGTGGAGGGGACAGCAGCAGCAGCGGCGGCGGCGGCAGCAGCAGGCGGCTGCGGCGGCGGCGGCGACACCAGGAGGATTGAGCTGCGTATCCTTCAGGGTATCTTTTCCTCAATGTTGTACAGCCAAAAGGGGAAAGGACACAGGGCGAAGCCCTGATGCCACCCCTTGGGATGCAGGCTGCCTGAAAGAGGATGAGAAGAAGAAAAAGGAGAAGGGCGGACTGAGCAGAATTGCGGAATCAGCGCTGGCCTGAAGCGTTGCTCCGATGCTCTCGGTCGGGCGTGCCGAGCCACAAGAAGAGGAAGAAGAAGGATAACGCCAGAGAGGGAGAGTGAGACAGAGTGAGAGAAACTATCACTGATCGGGGTGGCGCAAAGCTGTGCGAAGAAGAGGCAGGGAGTGAGAGAGAAGCGGCAATAAGTCCAAGGGAGAAGTATCAATGCAGACTTGGGCTGGCAATTGTATGAAATTTGAGAAGAAAGGCACGTTTGCGCAGCCATTGGCTATTTTTGGCTCAAGTCCTTCTGGCCACGAGACCATAAGGCATGCCAGAAAGAATGGTCACTCGAACGTTCTTCCCCATTTTCAGCATGCTTTGCGTGTATTCCTCCATACTTCACAGTATGTGGACGTAACTGTCAAGTGCTCCAAGATCTCTTTGTGCCAGGCCCTGGGTTGGATGACGCTGGTTCTTGTGTTGGTGACGTGGTGACTGCTTCTTCATCGGAGGATATGCAGATGTCACAGCTTCTGGCAGATGCGGATGCTACGGTGCTTATTGAAGCTGAGTGCTATACTATGCTGGAGAAGTTGATGAACAGAGTGAGGGATGACATGTCAGGCTTGATGACATGCCTCGAAAGAGTAGAAGTTTCAACGAAACTCCGCGGCTTCTAATTTAACGACGAGTTCTTGCACCCTCGCGGCTGCAATTACAAAGCATGCTTGCGCTGTTGGAAGTGGTCACAAAGATGAACTTCAGCTGTTTCCTTCTTCGCACGTCAAAGTGCTGAATTCAGCAGCCCCTGCTTTGCCTGATCTGGAAATGCTGAGAGTGCAGCATGTACAGAGCAAGACCGGGCTTGGGACAGTAGCCGGTAGGCCTTGGTACAGAACATCACAGAACGAGTACATTTCTTGCCCCCCATGAATGTCTTGAGGGTTGTAACTTCATTCACCCCTCGTGACTGTCCCGAGGTGCTTTGAATTTCCCGTTTAAAGTTGTTTCAACTCGGCAATCACTCCAGCTTAGCATGTTCAGACTTACAAGTTGAGCTGAGTGCTGCTCCGATGATTGAGTTAAGATTATGTGTGTGATGCCGTGCTTCCGGAGCTGTGTCGCAAAACCCTGCTATCGTCAGAGGCTTGGATGTACACCGGAAGCTCTGGACTCTGCCTGTAGAGGAGGAGGAAAGGGATGAACTACTGCGTGGGGCTGACGTGCTTGGAGGGCATTTTGCCATTGCCCGGGATCATGCCCGGGGGGTGTGACATTTATGACAAGGGATATCCCTATTTTTCTCGCACCTTTGAATTTTGTGCCTGCTTGTATTGCTTGACTAGAAATCAGATAGGATTTCAATCCCAGCTGTCACATTGGGGTTTTCAATTGCGGCCGGGGCCGGGGCTGCAAGAGTACAAGGAGCCACACATTCAGCGTCCAGATCTTTGCTTTCACTATTCCGGTCCTCGCCAGCCAACAAAATTTTCGCTCCACGGAGGGCCACAGGCTGCAACCCAGGTGCGTCCGTTTTTTGCAGGGGATGTACCTAGACGATTTTTTAGAAGAAAGGGAGAGTGAGAGAGGGACAGAGAGAGAGGCCGTAAAGTGGGGTCACGGTTTGGGTGTCTTTGCCACCAGCCGCGAAACTGTTGGTGCCTTGTCGTACGAAGCTGACCATCATGGCGGAGTTGCCGCCTGAGAGGGTGGGTTTAGGCAGCTGGGCCCAGAATGTATGTGGTACCTTACTCGTGCAGGAGCTGGGTAATGCTGGCTGTTTGTAGGCTGCAGGCATAGCTTGCGAGGGCCCATTACAATAGCCCGAAAATACGAAGACAGTACATAACCATTCTAGTTCAAGTCTCCTGCCTCGACTCCCTTTCTCGCCCCAGCCCGCTCCAATCGGTTTCCGCCCTTCAGGGCTCAAAAAACCAATGCGCAGAAAACACATAGACGACGGCTGATACTAAAACGAGGACGAAAACAAAAGCAGTGAAGATAAAGAAGTGCTTCGAGTTTCGATTATGTTCTCGCAGTAGTTTTCTTTGCTAATGGTACCATGCTTATCAGATTTTTTTGCCGAGAGGGCACAAAGACGAGGTAACGCAGAGGCAAATGCTGGCAGATGTGCAATTCGGAACGTGTTGAAAGGCCTTGGTGTGGTCATTGCCAGGCACTTGGGCGACATGGACTTTAGTCTTCTGAACTGTTGGCTTCCTGAGTAAAATCTACTCTGAGGCAAGAAGTTGGCTCCAGTTTGGACGCAGTTAGCTGAGAAGGCATTTCTCAGGTGTACTGGCAGATACTTCCTTTCGATGGCTGGGGCGACTGGGTCAGGTGGAGAAGCTTGGTTACGAGACTTGACAGCACAAGGCAGCAGTTCTGAGACACAGCAGTGGCAGTCCGGTGCTGAGGCCAAGAAGGGCGTAGTTGTGGCAAAGATGGATGCCACGGCACCTCGGATTTTTGCGCATGTAATGTCAGCAGTTCCCCTGGAAAGCAACTTAACCTAGGAGAACGAGTGCGAGGAGCAAGTTTCAGGCTCCATATTTGGAGTGTGATGGATGACATGCTGGCGAAGAAGTTGTTGGCTAACCTTTACAAGTAGCAGTAATCCTGTAACAGAATGTGACAGCAGAAATTGGGCAGATTGCTGTGAACTAGGGAGGACCTGATCCGCAAGTTTAGATGCGGTGGCTTGCATGCAGGCTACCCTTCTCTCATCTTCTATCCGGCAGTGAAGAAAGAGAAGAAGTCCGAGCGCCTGGAATTGCAGGAATGGTCCTTCTCGCAGTTGTCTCCACCGCAAGGTTCCGGCAAAAGCTCATTTATCAGGGAGCTCGAGATTTTGATCCCTTGCTGGATTTCCTTGTGGCTGCCTCAGGGCCAGAGGGCCAGGATTCCGAGAGCCTCTCAGCAAATGAGCGAGTCGCATCTCGCCACTTTATCACAAATGCCAGGTGGAGAACGCTGTAAATTTGGAGGGTGTGGAGCTGACGGAGGGTGTGGGCAAGCAAGCTTCGCTCGTGTCTTGTTTGCAAGCAGAACATGCGGAACAGACGCTAGTACAACGGTGGTTCCAGGTAGACCGAGAGCGCTCCAAAAAGAAGAGAAAGCAGGCCAGGAGTCTTTTCCAGTCGTTTGGTGTTTGTTGACACTTGAGATTTTACTCCTCTGGCCCAGGAGCTCTAGAGACAGGCGCGTCGCGGCACCGGAATTATTGCCGGTGCCTTCAGAAGAGTCAGAGCAGATAAGTTTCAGACATCCAACCCGTAGCAAGCTGGCAAAAAAAGGTGGACAGCAGCTGACAGACCTTTGGGGTCCCTTCCCTGGTCGCACTGAATTTGGGTGCGGGGTCGCAGCTTGCAACAGGCGTGAGCCAGCAAGTGGTTTGTAGTAGGATGGATTAGAAGCGACAGGCACCAGGCCATGTCACAAAAACCAGCACGGCAGGCGGGAATACTGGTTGGAAAAAGAAAGATCATCCGATGCAGTGCGGCTTTCGAAGAGCAACTTCAGGAGGGATTCTGATGTGTGCTGCCTGAGAGAGAACTATGTAGCTTCAGGGGGCTGGCAGAACCTTTCGCAAGAAGTGCTCCAAGTGTCATTACTCTGGCAAAGCGCAACTTCTTTAGGCGTCACACCATCTTCATGACTTGCCACAGATTTTTTTGGACGTTGTGGCATGCAGTATCCTCCTTGCGACAATGGTGGCTGGTTCAGGTTCAGGTAGATGGCAGTCGTTTTTGCAAGCGGAAAGAGTGCACTCAGGCAGCCTTTGAGAAGTGTAGCGTATGTGTGCGTGAGTTTGCACTTCCAAGCTAGGCGATGGCAGGGACGATTCCAGAGCTGAAGTGCACCCACTCGCTTTTCTACGATTTCTACGTTGCTCTTCGTGCCAACGTCTGCCCTACGTTGCTTCATAGCAAGCTTCTATTTGAATTTGTTGGCAACTACCATGGTCCTGCCAACTGCTATGGCCCTGCAGCTTGTAAAGTACGAGCACGAGGATTTCCAATTCATGTTGCACAGATTTCGCTTGGCAAAGATATGCAAAGATTATGTCAGACTAGCATGCATGAAGAGGATGATCGACGCTGCGACCTGATTGCAGAGTGCATGTGTTGGAATTTGGCTTTGCTAAATCACGGGCATGTTCTTATGAGCCTGACAGTAGCCAGGTATAGGACGCTGCGCAGCCATATCGTCCTTGAATGGTGTGTCTTCTTTGGTGATATATGGATCACTTACGTATACCTGCGTTTCTATATACGGCTTTGTGAAGCTTTTTTCCTGATGGTTTTTAGAGAGTATTTTCCTGGGTGATATAATTTGGAAACCTGCGATTCTGGTTTTGTGGGTGTTTCCTGAGGGAAACAGGCTTTTCATCGACATGATAATTGCCGTTAGGTAGTTCAGATGGGTATACCGTTTTCAATGTCTTGAGTAAGTTCATGGTTGTCTTGATTTCCCGACAGTTTCGCGATTAGCGCTACGGTAGGTCGGGATGATGGCTGGCGCTCACCCCTAATCCTAAGTTAAGATCTACACCACCGAGCCCCCCATATTCACATGTTTTGTAGCAGATTGACGTTTCTGGAAATAGACATACGGAAAAGAAGTAGGAGCATCAGTTCGTGATCTCAGGATGTTTTCTGCAGGCAGGATGCAAAAAAAGCAGCATCCCTAAACTAAGGCTCCAAGCCAAAGGCTCCAAGCCAGTAAACTCGGCGAGCGCTCGACCAGCTCCCCAGCTCTGCTTCGAACCTGAGCCAAAGTATCAGCCGGCAATGCAAAAATCTTCAAGAACTAGCCACTACAGCACAGACAGTTTTTAAGGGTCACGTGCGTTGCTGCGATAAATGTTCTTGCCAAGAAGGAAAGTATGTACACGATGAATCGTGGGAACGGCAAGTCTCACTCATCCAGGTTCTGAGAAGCAGTATGAAAATGGTACCGGGGCTTAGTGCTGCTTGAATTCCGAGCTATCATGTTGGTGTTTTCAGGTTTTGCCTTAAATCAGGTCTTGGAGGTTTGTGGTTGCGGGGTTCCCACCGTGTGTGCTGCTTTTAAGCCGGCCGCGCAGGTTCTACGTCACCCACCCAGACATCGAGGGCTGGGAGTTGTATCAAGGCAGTCTTGAACATGTGCATCGTCAAGGCGACGTACCAGGGTTTTCAGACCCACAAGCGGCGCTTGAAGAAGTGCTGGTCTTGACAGCACCGAGTGCTTCAACATGACACTGCCCGTGAAATCCGCAGTGAGGCCTGAGGAGCCGTTGCGCCGGCCTGTGCTATCTCAAGAGAACTTCCAGCTTCTTGTCTTCTTTTATTGGGAGCTGCTTTTGGGTTCTGCATGGGAGACTGGGTGAAGGTTTATGTCGCAGCCGGGCTGGGAGCGGCACCAGAAGAGCGTGATGAATCTGAAGGGCGAGGTGCCGTCTTCATCTGCCTCGCACCTCTTGATAACTGTACTTGTGGATTTGGCGTGATTATCATATAGACCAAGCCCGCGTTTTTTTTTCCCTAGGTGGGGCTGAGAAGATCTGGTCAGCAGTGGTCAGGGCTCCTTTGTTTGGAGAAGACACAGTTGGTCGGTCGTTTGGTCGGCATTTTGTATTATGTTTTGCGAAATTACAGCATTTCTCATTATTTTTCTTGCTTTTTCCGTATTTGCAAAATGTTTGGTCACTTCTCATGATATCATATGTGTCCATCACACGTCTGTTTCATCATTGTTTTCAAAACGTCAGTAATCTTGCATCAGTTTTCATAAGTTTTCATAATTGAGTCATCATCTCCATCATGACGGTCATCATCATCCAGCACTCTTCTTCTTCACTGCTTTCACGACATGTATCATGTGTTTTTTTCCATGGTTTCTCATCAGTTTGCATCATCTTCATAAGGTTTCATCATTTTCTCGCAATTTCTAATCCGTTCTCATGGTTTTCGTCAGTTTGCATAATTTTCATGCTCTTTCACGTTTGTCATCATTATCTATCATTTGTCATGGTTTTTCATCCGGCTTCACCCTTCTCATATTTTTGATGATTTGTCATCAGTTTTCCTCATTTCCATCACTGTTTATCATTTTCGTTCCTATTCATGATCATGTATCATTTTCATCAGTTTCACTGTGTTTCTTGAGTTATCATTCTCCACGATTTTCATGTGTGTTTCTTTGTTTTTAATCGTTTTTCATGCTTTTGAATCATTCACTATTCATATATATGTTCATATTTTTGAGCTTTCGTCATTCCCTCATTATTTATCATTTCCATCAGTTGTTATCATCTTTCATAATGAGTTCAACATTTCTTACATCATTTTCATGTTTTTGGCCATTTTGTCTTCAGTTGTCATTTTTACATAACTTTCAACAGCTCTTCATCTTTTTCGTCGGTTGCCATCATGTTGCATTGTTGTTTATCCTTCCTCATAATCTTGTCATCCTTGCTGAATTGTGCTTTGTTCCTCCAAATCCTGCCTTTTACAGAGTCACCAAATCCTCAACTTTTTGCTTTATCGGTCCATGATCTCGTTGTTCGCTTGCCGGAATCTTAATTTTGATCTTCAGTTTGAGTGGTTTTTAAATGGTGGGGGCTTGGCACCGCGGGATGCGCATCACACATCTTTTTTCCAATCAACGAAAGCCTTTTTCCAATCAAAAGATCTTTCTCCAATCAAATCCTCTTTCGCTTTACATATAGAAACAGAAAACAAGAGGGTAAGAAAAGGCAGAAGGCACTAACCAAATTTTTCTACAATCAAAGAAAATTGTTTCCAATCAAGAATATCCCCTTGAAATTTAGAAAGCAAGCAAACAAGAAAAGGCAGAAAGGAAGGAATAAGGAAGGAAGCAAGGAAGGAAGGAAGCAGGAAGGAGGAAGGAAGGCAGCACAGACGCCAGGAAGGAGGGAAGGAAGTACGCAAGGAAGAAAGGAAGGAAGGAAGGAAGGAGAAAGGGAGAAGGTGGGAGGGAGGGAAGTGTTTTTTTGTGCGCCCCGACCCATCCACGTTTGCGATAAAAAGCAAGCATCATGTCATCACCATGTTCGCAGTAAGGGAATGTGGCGCGGATCTTTTTTTTTTGCAAGTGGGAGGAGTGCTTCCCCCAATCCCCCCCCCCTCCCCCCCACGCCCCGCTTTTTAAAGCCGTCCATGCTTACGGTATAACATTTTCATGTCATCACCATATTTGCAGCAGGGCAAGGCTGTGCGGATCAGTTAGTTTGCAAATGGGGGCTGCGCCCTCGCCTCCTGTTTTTGAAAGCCATCATTGCTTACGCATGCCTACGGTAAAACAATCATCATGTTTGCGCTATGGGGGAAGGTCGTGGCGGATGACTTTGTTTGCAGCGGGTGGGGGGGGTTCGCTTTTTTAAAAGCCATCAAGGATTACGCGGATCATGTTGTTTAGTTTTGCGCCATCCAACTGCACAAACGAAAATCTCTCTAAATGTTGCAACTCGCAGTGTATGTTCTTTGCAAAGCTCCGAATGCTGTCATTTACAACATACATCGGCAAGGTCTAGAAAATTCAGAGCTGGCGTGCTGTGATTACAGTATCTGCAAGCTCTAAAGAGTTCCAAATGCTGTAATGTACAGTATCTGAAAGCACTAAAAAGGCTTCAAATGCGGTAATCTACAATACCTGTAAGCTCTAGATGAGCTCCCAAAGCGAAGGTGCAAGCGTGACAACAGTTACAAGGATCGCGAGTCCGACCCGCACAATCCTTGTGACTGTTGACACTTTGCAAATTCCAAGACAATGCGAAGGTCCAAAAGAGTGACAGTCACGAGGATTGCAAGTGCGATCCCTGCAATCCCTGCGTCTCTTGACACTTCAAATGTCAAGAGGATCCAAGGGTCCAAAAGCGATGACACCTACGATTGATGTTTTTGATGATGACTTGTTGATCCCCACCCTCACCCATAGGTTGCACCATGCTCGCAATTCTGTCAAAAGTCTCCACACGATCGAGCTCCTCTCGCATGGAGCGTTTTCACATGCCTCCTCGAAATATAGTTCTCGCGCGGAGCGTCCTCGCATTATTGCTCAAGATTCTGCTCCGGCATCGAACGTCTTCATATTTTGATACGAAATCAAGCCACATTTCTGTAGAATCCGCTGCAAAAGGCCCGAATGTCTCCTGAATTTGATTAGGAGCTAGTGGAGTCTCCATGCAATCCCTGCAGCCCCGGGATTGACTGGGCGATCTGCCAGCAAGGGTAGGGCGATCTTCCCATTTCCCCTAAATTAAATGCATTCCGCGTGCGCGCCCGCGCGCGAAAAAGGTCACGAACACCGCCCGGAGGGGGTCCGTGAAATTGGCGCATGGGCCGGGCACGGGCACGGGTGTAGGATCCTTCTTTGACTTCAGAATCCTCATTTCCTTTGTTCCAGATTAGCCGTCCCAGACGGATTTTTTGGATTCGCTGCCCCAAACGGTAATTTTCGGATTAGCTTTCCCAGACTCAGATGGCATTTTCCGGATTCGCTTGACAGACGGTATCTCGGAAAAAGATGCCTCCAGCTCCCCAGACGCGTTTCTAGTCTTTTCTTGGCTCTGGCCGTAAGGCATTTTATTGAGGCATATTAAGGCTATCCAGGGGTATCCTGAAAGAGTCTCTATAGAATCTACGAAACACCCGAATTTCTTTCGAATTTGATTAGGAGCTAGAGGAGCAGCTGCGGCAAGGAGTAAATGCACCTCCAGCTCCCCGAACGCTTTTTTTTGCCTGGCCGTGGCTGTAAGGAATTTTACACCGGGTACTCGTATGCAGAAATATAAGAGCTTCTAGAAGATATCCTACAAAGGAAACGCTCGAATCTCTCTCGACTTGCAAATCGGTCTACTGAGGGGGTGGTCGCAATAATAGACCAGGGGTTGGGATGTTGGCTGGGCAGTGGCACAAAAAGGAGAAATAGTTTTCAAACCTTGCAAGCGAGATCTCAGGCTTGCTCGACATGCGAGTGAAAAATGATGCAAATCACCCAGGATGGCAAAGCTGCTGGGAAGCTCGCTTCTGCGCAGCATAGGGAAAGCGTGACCACGCAACCCTGCGCTATGCCTACGCGTGCGGCTGATACAGCAAAAAACCAGCGCTAGGCCCAAAGCACGCAGCGAATCTGACATGCTCAACTGCTAGTGTAAATGCGGGGGACGGCGATTTTCCTAGCCTTGGCTGTAAATGTTTGGCCTGCCGCGGCTCAAAGGGCTTCAGCCACGGCCAAGCAAAATACACGTCAGAGAGGCCGGAGGCGCATCTTTTCCTAGCCGCGGTTGCAGGGATATTGCTAGAGACAAGCCTAATCAAATTCTAGAGAAACCCGTGGTTTTGTAAAAGATTTTTTAGAAACTCCTATATTTCTGGATGACCGTAGTAATATTCCTTATGGCCACGGCAAGCCGCGCATTCTTGCGCTAGCTGCAGATGTAAGCGGTTTGGCTCTTTCCAGCCGCTGTGTCTTGGTTGTACGCTGCCACTGCAGATCCACAATTCGGCTTGTTTCAGGCTTTTAGAAATCAAGTCCGTTTACATGAGTTGGTCTTAGCCCGAGCTTCTGCCCGTTGTCCGCACCTGCCATGCCCGGCATATCTAAAAGAATGTCTCTCATTGGCATGGGTTCGCGATGTACACACCTACCAGATGCATCTAGATTCTAGATGCTGCTTCCATTTTCTACTTCCATTCCATGTCTTTCTTGCATTCGCAAGCCGAAAGCCACCCATAGCTCAACACGTGCATGCGGTTGCAGGTGGCGGCCTGGAACGAAAATACGCCGAGAGCTCTTCAAAAGCAGGCAAGAACAGGGACACTCGTGCCTTCTATGAGCAAAGTGTTTCTGTCACACTGCTTTCTTGAAGAAGCTGACGTCCAGTGTAGGTGCGGGAGCCAGGCTCACTGCTTCTACGGGTGTGCCTCTGTTAGTTGTTTCGGAAGGATGTAAGCGTATCAGGCTGCCTCACGTGAGGTACCTTTGCCGCCAGCTCCACATCTGATCCACGGAAGATTCCCTCCTGAAAAGAAACAATGTTCGGAGGGCAGCACATAAGTTCACATCCCGGTGAATCAACTTGCAGAGTGGGCTGTGGAGGTTTGTAGTTTTTCTGACATCATTGTTTCACAGTATCGACTGCTGTCGCATAGCGACTTGCAGGCTGTATCTCATAACATCATAGATTGCCTGCAACGGGGCAGGGGCCGCGAAGAGCGCTGCAAAATGATGCAGACTTGTGTCAGACAACAAATCTGGCTTGTTTTCACATGCGAGGTTGTCCAAACGCCGTCTTTTCTGTGCTACTTCACTTATCGAGGACGTAATTAACGTCGTAGTCCCTGAGAGTGCTTGCAAGCCATGGCAGCAACGCCCTCGAACAAAAGCGTCCAAAGTGAGATCCCCAACACGGTGCGGGTCGACTGGAATGACTCCCAGCCCGAACGAACACAGTTGCATCCTGCATGGTCTCAGCGGATGATCATGTACAGAAGTCTTTGCTCGCCTTGGTGGTGTTGATCCAGAGCTGAGGACGTCGACTTGGTGGCGAAGATTCCCAGAAAGGGCATGACAGAGGTAGGACATTCGTCCGGAATACGTGAACATGATTTCTCACCACACCTCTGCAGGAGAAGTGCATCCTTGGCAAAGTCAGTGGTTTTGCCCTTCCTGGCGAGCTCCTTGCGATCATGGGACCGTCCGGAGTGGCTTGACGGCCATTTTTTTGCTTGCTGGCACCACTGGCACCTTGCCCTGCAGAGCCAGCATGCGCGTCCATTTCACTTTGCAAAGGCCGGCAAGACATCCCTGCTCAATTGCTTAGCTGTGCGCACAAGCCCAACCAGCGGCAGCCTGACCTTCAATGCGACCCTTGACTGATAGCACAGCCAGCAGGAGCGGCATGCCAGGAGCAGCCAGGGTTTCTTACTGCAGCTGCCTGCCAGGTAGGCGTTTTGACAGAACAAGTCGTACAGGACCTGAACATGTGCACCTGAAGTCGGACCTAAGGACAGAGTTTTCAGACAGTCTCAGACGGCGTGTTGCATACGTGCATCAGCAGGCACCCTGGTTGCAGCTCACAGGGAACAAGATCATGGTTCATGAAGCTGACACCCGCGAGGAGATGTTACTGGAGTGCTACACTCCGAAGGAGCACTTGCTCTTCCAGAGTACTCTTAGGATGCCGCGGGATGTCACCTCCACACAGCGACGGGATCGCGTAGAGAAATGTATCCACCTGCTACTTGTCCAAACACATGGAGGGGCTTCGACCACCAGTATTCTCCTGTAGCATGCTACTGGTATGTCTGAAGCACACATTGAATCAGCTAAGGTTAGGTTTGGAGAACTATGGCTGCAGTGTGGCTTTCTGCCTTGTCATGTTTGAGACATCGTGCTGACAAGTTGTTCTCAGCATGCAGCCAGTCAACGCTAAGGAAATGCCAAAACAGTCTGATAGGCAGGATTTTCTGCAAAGAGTGGGCAATGCTAGGCTCATGTTTCAGTATGTGCTCGTGCGTTGAAAGCTTTCAGGTGATATTTATCAAGGCATCTCGAAGAACGAAAAGCGACGGGTCTGTTTCGCTACCGATACATGGTGGAAACCACGCTTGAGTGATCTCTGCAAGAAGCCAGCTACATTGCAGTGTGGCTGTGCACCAAGGAAATCCTGACTCAGCCAGCGGTCCTGTACTGTGACGAGCCCACCACTGGCCTAGCTGCTTGGCTGACCTTGTGTCTCAAAGCTTTAAGTTTTCGCGCTTGCTAGCCAGCTCAGGATAGTGTCATGGCGGAGGCAATCTCGAAGCTCAATCAGTCGTCAGCCACATAAGTCATGTCAGGTTATCGTGAAGTACATGAAGGCACGCCGTGTCTGGGTTAGCGCTTTAAAAGCAACATCGGGCGAGCTCCCCGCCGATGCAGCGTGATCATCTCCTTTTACAGCCATCACAATGAGTCTAAAACAAGCAAGTTTTTCGGACAGAAGTACGGCAACCAGCAAGGCAAACAGAAGCCACAGGCAGAGGAACGGATACGATCCTTGAGACCATTTCCTCATGGTCCCCTGCAAAGATTTGCGCAGGCGATTGCATTGGAAGGGCAAAAAGGCCAAAAGGTGACCGTCATTGCCTCCATCCATCAGCCATCGTCGCAGGCGCTGTATTGCTTGAATTAATTCCTACTATTTCCTGCTGGAGAGTAGAATCATCCAAAAATTCCGGAGGTATTCCGGCTTTTTGACCGACTCCACTTCCTCGTGGATGGTAGGACGGCCTACTTCGGTCCTGTAAAGCAGTTGGAAGCGTACTTCTCCAGCATCGGGTACGCAATGCCTGACCACACAATGCCGGCTGATTTCGTCATGAAGCTGCTCCTTAGATGCACCCCTGATTGAATTTGCTCATGTTTTGCCAGAGCCTTAATGAATGCCAGTCTACGCAAGACAACAGGTGCATCAATCCGCGAGATCCTGAAGGTGCTGCAAGCAGAAGGGTCGCGATAGGCCACTTGGCAGCAAAAGATTCCCTCTGCCTGGTGTGTTGTAGAGAACCAGCTTTTCTTGCGCACCCATTGAATCCTGACGAAACGTAGCTGATGAGTTCGTGTGCACAGTTTGTTTAAGTGAAGTGACCGTGGCCTAGGTCCTAGGTGCTGTGACTAGTTGCTTGCCAAATGAAGCCCAAGTTGAGTAGCTTGGAAGTTTCACTGCTAAGCCTTACAGTTGCCTTTGTCTCTGCGAGGTGATGCGTGGGAAAAGCAGTGGCCGAATGCCACTTGGCTGCCAGGCAGAATCTCCACGGTGGTTGCAGATGGCGTGGAGCGCTTTTTCCTTAGGAGGATGCTCGCTCCAACGATGCTCCCATCACGGTGATGGCCAAGAACGTAAGCTTAGCAGCCGAATCTTAGGACCTGGACACCTGAGCTTTGCTGAGCTATGCTGAAAATCAGGCCACCTCGGAAAGTCCGGATGATGGTCGTGGCACCAGTTGGTTCATGCAACTGATGTACCTCACAAAGCGAGAAGACACCTGGACTGCATCGGAAATGGGAAAGAAAGAGTGTGCGCAGCAGAATTTTGAGAACACAATTTTTTGGTCGAGTGCCTACATATGCTATGAGATACTACGAGAGCCAGTCTGCAATTTGAGCCATGAAGGCCATAATGAAGATGCGAGCAAAAGCAGAGCTACGGTCTTCACTCATTCGGACCATTGTGCTGGGGCTGATGTTTGGTCTGACTTTCTTCCGAATTGAGAAGACACAAACGGAGCCTCGGCTATCTTCATCCGTTCGGGATATTGTTTCAAGTTTGCATCTCCTGCGCTTGCAGGCACTCTTTGCGCTGAATGGCTGCATTTTCTTTGCTGCCATCTTAGTAACACCTTTTGGAGAAGTCAAACGAGAATCGAGAGCGAAGAATCTCTTTGTTGCTGAGGTTATGATGATGCAGGTGATGAACACAGCAACTTGCCGCCTCCACTTAAGACTTCCTCATTCATCCTGACAACAAATTAGGGCCATGGTGCATATTCCAACGAATGTCAAAAGCAGTTAGAGTTTGTGCAAAAGTTTTTTAGTATGTTGGGAGAAATGCGTTTTATGCTGAAAATTGCAGCACGTCTTTTTTTGGACGCTATTATGCTTTGAGCATGGATGCCTTGGGAATCGCATGCTCTCGAACATGGGTGTTATTATGCTTTGGGAATGAATGCTCTGGGAACCAGATGCTCTCATGCATGCTTGCTATGATGCGTTATGAAGGTTTGGCAGGAACTACGGTTCAGTCCTGCGAGCTACGTTGCAGGGAATACAACGAAGGGTGGTAGGCGCGTTGCTGCATATGTGTGATGTTTCAGGTTTGTACCGAGCTTATGATGAGCATTGCAGGGCGCCAGAGCGGGATGGCTACGAGAAAAACACAAGGTCCAAAGTAATCACGTCGCGAAGTAGAGATCTGGCGCGCGAGTTGCATTAACGCCGACCGTGTTTGTTCTGCTTGCGTTTCCATGTTGGCTACTAGAGCATGCATGCCGAAAGCTATGTCGCAACCATGATGACATTCCTCTTGCTGGAGCATCCATGCCCAAACCGTAAACCGTAATAATGTTCACCTTTCAGTGTGTATGTTTACCGAAGCATCAATGCCCATGATGACGATCATTTTCGAGTAACTCCGCTTACCAAAGCATTCAGGCAAAACGTTATATCTACAACCTTAATTTTTTCGCAAGCCATACTAACATTTATGCTCGAGTGAAGCCTCCTACCAAACAATTCCTTGTTCAAATCATAATGCCGTTCATCCTTCAGTGAGTGCGATTACCAGCTTATCCGCGCCCTAACCAGAACAGCTTCTATGTTTGAGCAAGTCCACCTACCAGCGTGTCCATGCAAAGACAATAACAACGTTGATTTTAAAGTAAGTTCGATAAGCAGAGCATAAATGCAAACCATAATGACTTTCATCTCATTCATCTTTTAGGTCCTTTCTGGGTGAATAGAGGCTGAAGTCTTACATTCTTTGGCTTTACCTGAATGCCTCAACATTACACACGAAATCTTAGACCCCCCGACCAAAGAACGTCGGGTTTGTGTATTTTGCGGGGGTGGAGAGGCCCTAAGTCTTACAACCCCTAACCTGCTGGGACTCCGGAACGAACCGTGCCTGCTTGGAGCGATGTACATTTTAAGGGAGTAGAGACTCAAACCTCACATTTTCTGGCTTTACCTGTAGGCCTAAATTCTCAATCTTGTGGTAGTTCCACTTCCCAGGACGTGGCTCATTTCTTGCGGCTTGTAGCATGGTTCGGGCACACCCTCCCATTGCGTGTTATCATGCTTTGGGGCATAGATGCTTTGGGTATCAGATCCCCTCGAACATGAACATTGTCATGGTTCTGGCATGGATGCTTTGGGAAGCGGGTATTATGTTTTGGGCATGGATGCTCTGGTATCCGTGGTGTGCGCTTGGCACACGTACGTCGATAGGGTTAGGGCGTGGAATCTCTGGTAACTTCACGCAGTTGGAGAACAGGCGTCAGCAGAATACGAGTCTTTATTTTTAAAGCCTTCCCACTTCTCTGCCTTTGTGCTAAGTGCATGGGTGCTTCGATGGCAATCCCGACTCGATTGCCGACGCTCATCCGCGAACACCGAAATGGAGCATACTCGGTCGACCCCTGAGCCTTGAGACTGCCTCCTACACCGGAGTGCGCTGTCTGCATTTGCGCTGAGTGTGTGAGGTGCCTGCTATCTACCTGAGTAAGCTTCTGGCCGACATCCCATTTGACTTCGCAGTCACCTGGCGCGTTTGCAACAATTTCGGACGTCAATTGGCGTGTTTGTGCTTAGGCAAATAGGTCACAAAGAGGGTTGCCGCACAATCTGAGATTGCCCTGCTTTGGGCGACAATGATGTTCTGGATGGTCGGTTTCCGCAACTCTTTCGAGAGACTGGGCCCAGTGCATTTTCTGCCAGAGCTAGGACAATAGAGCAGAAGTTGACATCAGCTGGCTGCAGTGGCTGCAGAGGTTTAAGTGTCCCGAGGAATTATTGCTGGTTCTTTCTTACTGTCTACCTCCTGACTTGCGTTGCAACTGGTGTCGGCTACTTGGGCGGCTACCTCGCACCGATTGGAGCTGTGGGCATGCTCCTGATCGGCAATGGAGTTTGCAATGAAGTCACACCATCAGCTTCAATCTCGGCATGAAGCAAGCATTGGCTTAACGCGAATATCTCAGTCAAGTCCAATGTTTACAGTAGCTTTGCAGCTTTGACAGAGAGGCAGCCTAACTTGGCAATGAACAGCCATCAAGAAGTTGTGCCATGCTTGCTTATTGTTTACAGCCACAGCATAGGGGCCACCCAAGGATGATCGTGCTCCTCAATGTCATGCCTCAGATCCTTGGCGCGTTTGTGCAGTGTGTACGTCAAACAGCAACTTCAACTGACTCAATTTCAGCCCTAGTGCAGCTCCAACAAAGAGTTTCCAAGCTTTGGACTTGAAATTCCAGGATGATGATGGGCGGCATCTTGGGATTATAAAGTCAGCAAAGAGCAGGTTCAACAGACTTTTGATCATTACAAATGCCACATTTGCAACCGCTTTGCGAAGACTCCGGCCAAGGCCTTTTCATCAATTTGGACTCTGTTCCTGTGGGGTTGGTGTGGCTGAAAGCCATATCTATGTTCCGGCACAGCTTTGAGGCTTCTGACGTCCACGTCGGTTTTGCTCGCTCACACAACTGACCATGCTAACTGGTGTGGATGCAGCCTGCTTGCGTTGATGCGACCCTGGTCTCTGTTGCTATTGTTCATGAAGAACGCGGCCGCAGGCTTTGATGATCAACCAGTGGCAGGACTTTGGCGACCTGCCGTGCAACGGACCCTGCATCGCACAGAACGGTGAGGAAGTACTGGCCTGGAGTGGGATCAATCCAAGCACTGCCAGCTTCTCCTCAGCAGTCTACAAATCTTGTCGGCAAGTCGAGCCAGTGTGATTCCTCATTTCTTCTGAGGCTATTTGGTATCGATGCTGTACTTGTTGATTCCGCTCTGTGCCATGCCTGATGCAGAGTAAGTAATGTTGTGTCGTGTTGGGGTTGGGGGTACGGGTCCGCAGTGTACAGGTTCATCGGGACAGGTGGAAGCGGTTGCAGCGTACATGCTCATCTCGTTGTCGTTGTTGCTGCTGCTGCTGCTGCTGTTGTTGTTGTTGTTGACCTCCGACTCAAATCTAGGAGTTGTCTGTGGACTCGTGTTCTTCCTCTTCATTTGGACCACTTCTGTGCCTGACAGATAAAACATGGAGCATGAAACATGTTTTGTTGTTACTGAACAAGTTGAAACATGCTGAGAGATGCATGAAGGAGCCAATTCTGCAGTATCTAGAGAGCGTGGAGCATGAGGAGCAAAGTGTGGCACCAACGAAGACACTTTGGAATCCCTGGTTATGCATGGTCTGATCAACCATGTGTACCTGCCCAGTGACAACGTTTTCATCTATTCTACGCTGTGTGTTGTTTCGCTGTTGGTTCACGAGTGCACACTTAATTTCAACTATTCTCAAAGCCAACAATGTCGGGATGTTCCCTACAAGACTTTGAGTGCAGTTGCGGGCATATCATGCATGGTTCCCATGTGTCAATTTTTGCAAAGCCTGTCCTTAGAACTTTGTTGGCAGTTGCAGTTGCAGACATGTCAGGAACAGTTGCGGACATGTCAGGAATGTTCAAAGATGTCAGTACGTCATGTCTCTGTGGTTTTGCTATGTTTGAGTTGCATGTTGGCAAATTGCATTTCGTAAAGTGCACAAGCCTTTCAGAGATGCAGCAAAGACTACAACCGCTCCGACTGCGATCCCGCACCTGGTTTTTGGCAAGAATGCTCACGCAAGCAATGTGGCAACGGACGTTTCCGTTGTTGTTGTTGTTGTTGTTGTTGCAGTTGCAAGTTGGTTGTGTTGGTTGTTGTTGTTGGTTGCTGTTGGTTGCTGTTGGTTGCTGCTGGTAGTTGTTGGTTGCTGTTGGTTGTGGTTGGTTGTTGGTTGTTGGTTAGTTGGTTTGTTGGTTGGTTGGTTGGTTGATTGGTGGTTGCTGTTGTTTGCTTCTTCCTGCTGTTTTCGCATTATACCATGGCAACATATCTTGCGATTCTAACTTGATGGAGCAGCATCTGACGAGCCATTTTGATTTACCTCCATGAGCCTTCCCAATTGATTTCAGTCGACGGAGCAACTTCAGTTTGCAACGCTTGCAAACTTGCATTTGTATGCTTGCAGCATAGATGCTGGCACTTAGAATGGCCTTCAGTTTCGAATCTGAACATTCTTAAGATAATTCTTGCAATGAGAGAAGTCGTCATGTCACACCTACGGAAATGCAATTGGTTGACATTTCCGTTTCATTCACAGTAAGCTTCAAGTTTTTCCACTGCTGCTGCGGCGGCAGGAATGAAGCATGTGTCTAGCTTTGCCACCTGCGTGTGTGGGTTCGACACTTTCCTTGCTGTGAAGGCTGTTACCATGGCCTGGCCTTCTTCTTCCTGGTTCGTCGAGCCCGCCCGCGCCAGTTTGAGGGCGCTGCCCCGGAGGATGACACAAAAGGCGAGCTTCGCCGTGACCAGGCTGCGAAAGCAGATCGTTGTGCCAGAGCGAGTAGATTGCTCGCCCAGGTCAGGACGAAGAGAAGCCAAAGTTGACTGACATACCTCGGCCCGAGCTCTTAATGGCCTGGACAAATTTGGCTATTGAGGTCCAGAGAAACGAAACTGGGAAAACGCAGCTGCTCGTTGGAAAACCTTTCAGCCTTGTACTTCTTGGTTTTGGCATGCCTGCATGGAATGGCGGTAAAAACCTTCATGTGTTTGTTCATCGACCTCTGAGGACCGTGCGCGTGTTGGACGGTCCTAGCGGTCACCTGGAGCCAGGACAACTCTTAGCCATTATGGGGCCGTCAGGCTCCGGGAAGTCAACCCTCTTGAAGTCCATCGCGGGTATTGGTGAACTAGCGCTGCTGCCAGGACCCCTCTTAACAGCCCATTGCATGGCCCGACGTGTGCCTGAGGCTTGTACTTCAGTCTTCCTACTGGAAAGACGAGCAAAGATACTTGCTACTTGTTTGACGTTGAAGACAGGAAGGGGGCACAAAAGCCGGAAACTTTGAGAAACATCATTTTTTTGTTGACGATGCTGCATGCATCATCAAGCCGTAGTGAGTTTTTTCAAATGTTTCTACTCTGTGTCGCAGGATGTCGCAGGCCAGGGAAAGCATCTCCAAGGGAAAAGTGCCGAGACCTACTCCGAGCCTCTACGTTTGTGCGAAACATCTTTTTACAATCTTTAGCCGCATACCATGTTGTTACTCCAGATGTGCAATCTGACTGCATGTCTTCGTTGTCTGGGGACTTCTTTGATTCGAGTTTTGAGTGCCTGTGTCGCTTTTGTCCTTCAAACAGACGGAAGGAGTGCAGCTTCAAAGCCATGCAAGTAGCAAGAACACGTCATCTAAAACACAAACTATGAAACAAAGTCCCAAGGCCCTGGGCCTTGGAGCTAGTTCGGGACAACCGTGGCAGAGCTGGAAGATGCTGGAAGCATCTGCACAACAAACAGTCCAAAACATTCCAACTAGGTAATCCCGGGAATCCCGGGGGCAAAGGTTCTGGCCCAATGGCTTAGCTTTCTGTGAGATGGGTGCTTGTCAGGAATTTGGGTGGATGGGCCCAAGTCCATGAACTCATCCTTGTGGTGAGGTTTGGAGAGATACTTTTACTACGGGATGAACTGGGGCATGGATACGCTCAGCACACCTGCCGCAACCAAGAGCTAACGACGATCACTGCATGCAGACTGCAATACCGACAGGGGCAACGGCCCACATGCCCCTACTGCGATACACTCCTGCCAGACCTTGGCGTCTAAAAGCCTGACACAAGGAGGACCTGGAAAAACGATTAAGCGGTCAAACTGGTCGGCAAATTTTTTCAGCGCAGCATGCACCTTGTATGTGCATTTTTCATATCTGGACCGCTATACTGTGTAACCGACATGAAAGCTGAGCACAATTTAGACAGAGGGTTCGTATCCGTTAAGAGGCCTTAGACTACTCGAGTGCCAAGAGTTCAGGCTGTCAAGCCGCCTTACTTCGTTGGAACCTGGCACGTTTCCGTGAGGGTCTTCCTCGTGGTGCCCCTCCACCTGCGCTCCACGAATTGAACAAATGGTTCCCAATTCTGTCAGAGTGCTTAGGGAGCTTCCCCATCTTGTTGTCTCGCACGGACCTTGGACATTGGAGCTTCTGTCGGCTTCCCGACTTGCAGAAAGAACCGTACTCCATCGTACTCCTGCGTTTCTGGAGAGTTTCAACTCAGCCCCTGCGGTCAGAGCCCTTCGCGCTGTGCGCAGTTTCCATTCAATTTAGGCAGTATGTGCGGGGACGAGAGGGCTTCTCCTCTGACCATCAGGCCCTGCTTGGCAAATCCCTTCGCAAAAGTGTCCCGTTGGCCAATTCAAACTTCGCCGTTCAAACTTGAGTGCAGGAGTGTTTTCGCATGGAAGAAGTTTCTTCAGACTGAGTTCGTCTGTCCTTTCCAACTAACCCAGCAGCCGAGCCCCCAAGACCTTGGAGAGCTGGCCCAAAGAAACTTGAAAATGCGCGTCGTGTAGGAGGAGAGAGCCAAACACGTCAACACGTTTGCAACATCTCCAACAAGGTAAGCGCATGCTTTCGATCCATTTCCTTTTCCGACTTTGGCTTGACCTTGACTTCCCTGCGCTATCTCCATCTATCCATGTGCACTTCCCTGCCAGGATCCAGCGTAAAGGTCAATGGTGATGACTGGACGCCGGGAATGCGCGATCACAGTAGCTTTCTCTTTCAAGATGAGCAGCTTTTCGCGGGACCTGCTATATGCCTTCTAAGATTCTGTGTCAACTGCGTGTCTGAGTGCCTGAGTATCCACTTTGCTTTCCACTGTTGCAGGACTCACCGTCCGCGAGCACTTGCTCTTCCAATGCCGGTTCCGCATGGGAATGTTCACAAAGGCTGAAGGCCAACAACGCGTCGACGCGCTGATCACAGAGCTGGGTCTGGCGAAGTGCAAAAACACTCTCATTGGCAATATCGGAGCAGGAATTTCAGGCTTGCACGTACATTAGATTCTTCAGCTGGGATTGAAGAAGCAGTGTGCCTGCTTGTGTTTGGTTGGAGTACATTGACGTGCTGTCATTTCATGACAAGCGCAGGCGGTGAGCGCCGACGCTTGGCCTTCGCCACGGAGTTGTTGACCGAGCCCGCTGTGCTATTTGCAGATGAGGCGACCAGTGGTTTGGACTCTGCCATGGCGTTTCTTGACTTTCTGGGCTGCTTTCACAATCATGCCCGCATGATGCGTCTGATTTCATCGGTCTGAGGTACAACGTTTGCAAGATGTTGAAGGATTTTGCGCGCGGTGAGGGCTCCTCGCGGAAACGGACTGTCTTCGCCACGATCCACCAACCAAGTGAGGAGGTCTTCAACTTGTTCGACAAGGCCCAGAAGAAGTCTGCTGTTACTCTTTTCCCCCTAATACACGAATAAGAAATCGGTTAAATCGAACAAAACCGATTAAAGCTATTTTCAATTCTTAAGACAATGAAGGAAAATTTGACTGCGACATCATATGGAATTCAGTTGTCTGTTTTCAAGCCATTTAATGGCATGATACGGCATGTTGCGTTTGACAGGCTTGTGTGCGTGCTTTCATTCCCAAAGGTTCTTACTGCTGCTGTTTTGGGTCAAGCATTGCTGTGAGCCAAACTGGCAGCAGCTGATTGTTTGACCCACCCAACCCTCCCTTCTTGATAACCCGGTGCCCCCTGGAGTCCCCGGTTATGCAAGGCTTGCGCAGTGTTGCGGCGTCGCCAGGTGTGCGGTCATAGTGGGGATTATCCGTGGGGCGGATCCCACATGGGCGGGAGAGCCATGTTGGAATACGCCATGCTGTGAGACACGTGGTGACTGCCTGGGCGACATGAACCCAATACATTACCCTAGGTGAGCCCTAGATTGGACTGCACGTGAGCTAGCGATCCGGATGAGAAAAGATGCTGAGTGGCATGCTTCTAGACTAGTGACACGTAGTGAACCTTGCAACGTGAAATCAAACAAACATCGTAAGCAAATCAGTTAATACCTATTTACACTCTAATGAATTCCAATCGAAATCTAATGAGAAGCTGACTAAAGCCATTTGAAATCTCATAAGAATTTCAAAACGATATAGAATCGCAATAAGCCCAATTAAGATCGCATCCACTCATGTAAGTTCCAGAGACAAGAACCACTCAAAAACGGTCAAATGTTTGGAATCAAGGAGCTCCCTAATCCTCAAGAGTCATGCTAGAGACCCTCCGTAATTCAGGGGATCCGAGCCGTAATTGACTTTAGTTCTGGCCCTTTGAATAGTAGTCTTGGGGGCAGATTTCAGAATTTGGAATGCGTATTTGAGTCCTGTTCCCGGGAAGTAAACAATTTTTGTGAGCCGCGACGCTTGCTTCCATGTTCGTGCCAGCATATTCAGCCTTTTCTGACAGTGTGTGAGCTGGAAGGTTTTGCTGTTGGTGGACGGCCAGGTGGTGTACCAGGGATCGCCCTCTGAGGCTTTGGGTCACTACGGCTCCCTTGGCTTGGCTTGCCCCCATGACGAAAGCCCTGCGGATTTCTTCATGCGCTGCGTGGCCGTGAATGCGGGCGAGGAAGAAGCGAGGCAAGAAGCCCGAGTGAATGTACAAAAGCTTCTTGGAGCTGTACGGAAGGAAGACGTTCCAAAAGTGCCTCTGAAGCAGGGGCAAGAGCAGTCCTTGCAGACCTCTGCGTTGGGAGCTTTGGCGGCGCTTGTCCAGCGCGAGTTCCTCTTACGCCGCCGGAGCAAAATTCTGTTCAAGGCAGTCATCGCTCGAACCCTTTTGATGGCTATTCTGTTTGGTGCTCTCTACTGGCAGATTCCGAGCAACCAGGCCTCTTGGCAAAGCATCATGGGTTTGCTAAACATGATGATGATCAATACCTTCATGACGGCCGGCTTTGGCCTCACCCAAGAGTTGCCATTGGCCTTGAGACCGGCATTGCGGGAATCCACTGCGGGCACCTGGCCGAGTTGTTTCAAGTCATTACCAGCCTTCTCAGCGCAGGGCTTGCAATGCATGTCTTCAATTCTCTTCATGACCGATTGCCAGACCATCTCTGGATCTTTTGATTTGGACCTCTGCGCAGCCACTGGCTTTCGCGCGCTCTCTCTCTCTCTCTCTTTCTCTCTTTGATTCTCTCTGTCTATCTTTGGCCCTTGTCTGCTTGCTCCGTTTTTTCCACTTGTCCCTTGGCTTATCACTCCTCAGCCTCGCTTTGCCTGGCTGGTTGGCTCACTCACTGGCCGACTCGTTTGCTTTTGCCTTTTCTTCTGTCGGTCCGTCCAATCAGAGTGCAACCAGCCGACCGGCATGCAAAGCGGTCCGAACGCAGTAGAATCAGTAGAACCCGCAGACTGCAGTGGTTGGTCTTAGTACTGCTACTGGTACCACTACGAAACACTTCGAGTTTCAGTGTGGATGGGGTAACTGGGTAGGGTCGTGCGTGGCTTTGTTAGAGATTTTGGGGGGTAGGTCCAGGGTCCAAGGGATGTAGCGTTTGGGGTCGGCGGGCTAGTCCTACTGCTTTTTCGTGTTTTGTGCTGTGCTAGAAGGATTTGTCCCTGGCACTTTTGCAGTTGCATTTGTGGGCTGAGGATTTGTGGCTAAGAGTTTCTGGTAAAAGTTCGGGGGGAGGTTTGGGTTCGGGGTTCCGGGCTTAGCTTCCGGGTTTTGAGCGACTGCAGAGCTCACAAGCGACAAAGGGTTCTCGACGTGGATGAGTGCAAAAGTTGTTGCTTTTTGGGGCCCGGCGGGGCTGTCGATGTTCCGGTCGCAGTTTTCGAGGTTGAGTCGGTTTTATTCTTTTCAGGGTCTGGGTTTATGTAGGGGGTTGAGATTTCCAGGGTTTCGTGCTAATATGGGATTAGGGATTTTAGCTAGTAGATGCTGAGTTCTTTAAAGTGCTCTTGGCGTTAAGAAAATTCAGGGAAGGTTGCGGTTCAAGCAAGTAAGTGTTAGGGTCTTAAGGCTTCGTTCAGTAAAGTGGCTTGGGTAGACGTGCCGCACCACGGGGTAGGGTAGGGGGTAGGGGGTAGGGGGTAGGGTCGGAGGTGAGGGTAGGGTATGGGGCAGGGGTAGGGTAGGGCAGGGAGCTGGGGAGAGGGGGTAGGGTGAGGTTCGTTGTTAGAGTGGAGGAGGGGAGGGCAGAGTTGGGCATGGTAATGTTGATGTGCAATTTAGCACCAAGGTGATTTCGGAGATTTCCTGCTGGCAGGGGCATTTTGTATGTGTCACTCCTCGTCTTCTTAGGGCAACGTGAGATCAGTCCTGCTCCTAACCCGCCCCCCCCTTTGCCCGACCCTACCCCCGCGGACCATAAGGCTAGGATTTAGGGTCGAGGGTTGTAGGATTGTCGTTTGGCTTAGGCTGGTGGTGCAGGAAATCCTGCACCTCGTTGATTTGCTAAACTGAGGTTGCGCAGGATTGCCTAGGCTGTAGGTTTGAGGGTTGAGGATGTTTGGGCCAGCAGATGCTGTGCAGGGTAAGATTGGAGCCGAGATGCAAAAAAAAGTTGGGTTTTAGGGTCCAAGCTTTCAAGGCTTAAGGAAAGATTTTGGGGATTATGATCGTAGGGTTAGGGAGAGGGCTCTGACATGTTGAATTGTCATGAAATGTCCTCAACTGGGTGAGGTTTACGGTTTGCGGATAGTAATGGCATTGAGAGCCCGAATTCAAGTCCAAATGCTGGGACAGCCCACCTCAGAGTGCGATTTCCAGGTTTTCAGGATGTGGGGTTTTGGGCTCGAGTGTCTAGTGTTTCAAGGCTGTCAGCAACCATCTCAATTTTCATTAAGGCGGAGTCAGGTTATCGGGTTTGGGCTTTATGGCTTATGGGTTTTTATAGATCCCTGTAATGCCCTTCATCCTGACCCGACATGACCTTGGCCACCATAGGATAAGGTTAAACCAGTAGGGGCGGGGCACGGTTCAGCAGCGGCTCCTTGTGTGATGCTTGGCGGCTCCATATTGAACGTTCTAGGTCCTAGGTGCTTAGGGTGTTGAAGTCTTCGGGTGCCTAGGGTCTGCAGAGATTGTCGGCTTTTGAGCTTCCAGCATGTTTGGTTTTGTGGTTTATCATGCTAGGGGTCTAAGGCTGTCAGGATTCAGTCTTTGAGTGTTGTCGTGGGGTGGGGTGCGGTGGCAGGGTGGGATGAGGTTGGGTGGCAGGGCGGGGTGTGGTCGGTGCAACCCTGCACCACCTTCCCGCCCCGCCCTGCCAAGGCAAGGCTCCCTCCAGGCCAAGCCATTGTACTTTGGGCTGTTTGTCTTGGTGCCCTTTTCCCATATTTCTGCTAAGCCCTATCTCTGTCTGCCCTGGATGCTTCGAGCCAAGCAAGAGTGAGAATCTCTGTCTGCCTCTCTGTCTCATTTTCCGTCTGTCTTGACTGGCCTTTCCCTCCTTGCTTTGTGAAGAGGCATCTGGCTTTCGCAAAGAGCGCTTGCTGAGGCATGTACTCCATCTCTGCTTGGTTCTGGTCTAAAGTCATCGGCGACTTCCCTGTGGATACTTTGGCTCCGATCTTCCTCTCCTCTGCTGTGTTCCTGATGACAGGGCTTGGAAAGACTGTGGAATCGTCCCTTGGCATGCCTTGGCCATGGCGGTCGTGCCTTGTATTTAGCAATTAGCAAGCTCGCTTGCGGAGGTACGCACTAGCGTTTCGGATTCTGAAGGTATTCCATTTCACAACGTGCAGAGCAGAGTCAACAGGTTTGGGGTTTGCTGCATGGGAAGGTCACTAGTTGCTGGATTGGACATGACTCCTTGCTGTGCAACAGCGTGCCGAAATTTGATGCTCCAAGCCTACCTAATCAGACTTTTCAGGTATCTTGTTTTCGTGCTGCTGACCGTGCTCGCTTCGCATATTGGTTCAGCTTGGGGCTACCTTTGCAGCATGATCGGTGGCAGAACTGAGTATGCATTTGCAACCTTCTTGCTGACGATCTTCCCTTTCCTTACTTTCAATGGAGCCTGGGCAGCAAAAGCTTCAACAGCTCACAGGGTCATTGGGGAAGGAGAGAGGCTACTCCTATTCTCACGAGCCAGCGGACTCTTGGAGTGCTGGTCCGGACTTGCTGACTGGTACATACCCTCACCCCATACCAGTGGCAAACCTGCAACTGCATGCAAAGATCCGAACCGCTAGATTATCGAAGCATAGCGTATCAGCCTTCTCAGCACTTGTTGCGATAGATTGACCCTTCTCATTTGCAAAGCTCAGGATTTCTCATCACTACGGAGAACATCCCCGTGTACTTCAGGTGGATCGAATTTGTTGGCCCATTCAAGCCAATCTTTTCTGAGCTGCCAGATAGCACTTAAATGGCACGTCTTTTTTCCGCTTGAGTCTGTCAAAGGTGCCGGGCGTTAGAAATGAAATTCAATTGTTTTCTCTCACTGGCGAGGTATGCATTCGCCATTTGGGACAGTCGTGGTGTTCTTGAATGTCTCCTGCCAGCAGTTGGCCACGCCCGTTCACGCAAATGAGTAGGCTGAGCAGAAGCTGTCGTAAGAGTGCAAGTGCTAACCTGGTCGTGATGCAAAAGGCTTGCCCTAGTGACCTAGCGAAAGCACCAGATTCAATCATGCACAGTCGGTCCCTGCACTGAAAGGCCCACAGCCACCATGTCTTGCGGATGGAGCAGCTGTACTATCCTTTTTTGGCGGTCCGGCTGCAATTCAAAGCTAGAGATCCATGCGGCGGCATTGGTGGTAACAGAGGTAGCAAACTTGTAGCAGGTGCCTGCCCCCACCAAGGAGTCAAGGATCTTTGGTATGATTTGCTCTGACAGCTCAGGCTTGAAGCGGGAAGACCAAGCCAAAAACTGGATGATGCTCGCAAGTTTCTTGAGAAGAGCTCCTAGAGGGGTTGTGTTAAGTTGCCAAAGGGCATGTAAAGTCACACGCGGTGAGCATGACATTGGGGGAAGATTCTTTTCAATCATTTTAGTTGCTTTGTTTGCACGTGCCTCTTGGGGAATCCTGGCAGACGTGCCAAATCTTGGTCACCACGCTCATCATTTTGCTGCTGGTTTCGGCAGGAATCAGCAAGGCATGTGGCAAGTGGAGACTGGACCATGAATCCGACCTACTTGAGATGGAAGTTACCAGGCGGGCGAGCAGCCAAGGATCATCGTTTGCTATTTGGTAATGGCACGGCTGCTGGCATGGCTGGTTTTGTTGCTGCTTGGCCTGGCAGGGTGAGGTTATCCTGTGCTTGCTTCTGCTAGAAGTGAGAGGGGAAGGCTTGCCGGCACATACTCCTTGACACGAGGCTTCGGGTCGAGATCACCAAGCGACGACTGCGTGGCCACCAGACCAAGGTGTCGGCCAAGCAAGTTTCGGCAGAGGCTTGTGAGGATGCCGCTGCAATCTCCAACGAACCGTGAGAAGCTGAAAGCCTTTGTGTTGAAGATGTCTTGCAACTCGAGGGGAATCCATCTTTTTCAGGACCCTTAGATGGCTTTCTTGATGAATGTCAGCAACCGCGGGGGGACCGGACTATGCAAAATCTCTGGGTCCTTAATAATTTGCGAAAGCAGCAGGGCTTGGGCAGCCAATTCCTTTGGGAATCAAGGGGATTGTTTGCCCATGAAGCCGGCTGTTGTTTAAGTCTTCGCCTTCTCTTTGCTTCGGCTTCCTTGCTTGAAGGGGTCTGAGTTCGAGAATTTTCGTTGCAGCGGTGCCTTTGCTACGTCTGAACTTTTCCAGCAAAGCAATGTCAGAGACATCTTTGCTGTTCGGACATCTCCCTGGGCCAACACACAGCAATTGTGCATGTGGTGGCCTTGAGGGTGGAGCTGCTTCGAGGCACGCTGGAAGGATGGGCTGAGCGCGAGTTCTCGGCCCACTCCCTCGTGCTCGCTTGTACTAATGGGCTTGAGTCAGCCAATGTCTGCCGAAGCTGGCACACTGGCCATTTGTGTGAGTGTGATTGAGAACCAGCTGCTGCCGGACAAGCGACACAGCAGAGAAGAAACAGTGTCAGCTTAGTTGCACAGATGTTGTCCAAGCAACATGAAGATGTGAAGCATGTGCTTTGTTTTCATTCCATCCACACTGAAGTGCGCGCTTGCTTCCGAATCGCTACCGCCAGACTTGCACCATTTCTTGTTCGCAGGGATGTGGAGGTGATAGTTTGACTTCATTTAGATGCATATCAAAGTGTCAGTTCCAATGCGCAGCGCAGCCACTGGTTCATGTAGTGTTTTTCATTTACGGTGCTGTTGCGTGTACTTGTGTCAGGGAGGTCCGGTTCATGTATGAGATTGTGTTTGTTACGCCTGGGAAGTGATGGTTTAGATTTAGGATGCTTCTGCCTGGGGTTCCTACGAAAGGTGCCGTGGCAGCAGTGTGAATTGAATTCCAAGCCGCAATGGAATGAAGTGAGCACGAGGGCCGGGCACAGGCATGAGGCTGTGCTCTTAAATTCCTGCTTCTTTGTTTTTGCTTCGGCCCATTTTCATGCTTTCTCCTGCTGCTTGTGGCCTTCCTTCTCGGCATCTGCTCTCTGGATTTTGTTGCTTCCTGCCTCTCTCGCTTTTTGCTTTCTGTTTCCTGCTCCCTGCTTTCTCCTCTCTGCTTCTAGCTTCCTGCTCGCTTTCTGTTTTATTGGCTTTTTCTTACTGTTGATGCAAAAGGTCTGTCGTTCCCGTACATTACTGCCATTCCTATTCTTATCATTTTCGTCCGCAGTATTATTGCAATAGCCGGCACCATCGGGGTTTTGATTTTGTTGTTAATGGCTCCGCCAGAGCGTAAACGTGCAAAAGCATGCATACCTGGCCGACCTCTCCGGATGGGGTCTGCATGGCACGAGCCGCACATTCGAGGTGCTTCGGAAGTCTGCATGTACCACGCATTGCGCTTTTCTAAGTTCGAGCGAACGATGCGAACGCTAATGCCAAAGCATCCATGCCCAAACCATAATAGAGTTCGTGTTCTGAGAGCATGCGATAACAAGCGCATCCATGCCTAAACCATAATAACGTTCGTTTTGCGAGAGCATACGATAACCAGAGCATCCATGCCCAAAACATAATCACGTTCGTGATCCGAGAATGCGATAAGAAGTGCGTCCATGCCTGAACCATGATAACGTTCGCATTCCGAGAACATACGACAACCAGAGTATCCATGCCCAGACCAGCAACACAGATGCCTTTCAAGCCTTAGCCTCTGTAACTATCCCTTGCAACCCCTCAACCTTTCGCTGCCACTCCTACAGTATAAAACACCCATCATGCAATTCTTCGTCTAGAAAACTCTGAAATCTGAAATTCCAGAGGATGAGAATCCCTTGCAAAACACAGTATTTTTGCAAAGGCCAGCGTAAATTTTCTTGGTTTTTTTGACGTGTCATTTTGGGACGGCTGATAGGTGCGTGCTTGCAAAAATACTGCGTTTCGCAGATTTCGCAGTGGATTCTCTGCTCTACTGCTTCGCACCGATGAATCCGCGTGCGTTTACGCTCCGGCGGAGCGTTGTTAATGTCAGGCTCATGGCAAGTGGTGTTCTGGTTATGGTATGATTGGTATGTTGTGGTAATGTTGGTGTGACAAGAACCCAAATATGTTCTGTTATTTATGTATTGCCACTGCGAGTCTTCTTTTTTTGTTTGTGTGTTGCTCTTGTTACTACTCTGGCTCCTTCTCTTCTACACTCTACAGTCGATATTCGTGTGAGTTGTTGTGTCTACGTTGCTGCTCTTTTGGCCATGCCATGGCTATCCTTGTCCTGATTAGACTCACTGCTCAGCAGCCGCTACGAGTATTATCACAATCATTGCAAGAAATGTTATTACCATTTTTACCGTTGTTAAATGGTGTTATGATTGTTGCGGTTGCTTGCCTGGGGCGCGCCCTGCCACAATCGTACCTGGCATGACGCTGGAGAGTGCGCAGCTGCGAAACGTACTAAAAAACGCGACAGGGTGGTTGCTCAGCAAGATGCGAATTCACTGGATAGGGGGTTTGGAGCCAACGACGCAATGCCACCATAATGCCTTGTCAAAAATTGACTGCAGCCTTCAGTTCCGCTTCTGCTGTAATGCCAAATCCTACCCCTTCTCACACCGCACTACTGCTGCGACTGCTACTAATATCACAAGATTGTCCAGGGCTAGCCAGATCCACTACCAATCTCAGTACCTTGTGACTTTGTGTTAGGGTCATGGGATTGACAGGTGTTTCAGGCCATAATCAAGACCGTCGAAGGCTCAGTCTCAACCTACATCGCCGAGCACATGTTTGCGACCGAATTGAAACTTCAACTTAAATTTACAAGAACGTAATTATGACTCCAAACTCCAAGACACCCCAAGTTCAAGCAGCAACAGGACGCCATCATGTTTCAGCTTGGTCGCAAAACATGTTCAGCGATTTGTTTGAGGCCAGGGGTTTAGACGCTTTTGGTTGTAGCTCCAAACATCAGTCAGTACCATACAAAGCAACAAAGTACTCGTAGCGAACATGCAGTGGCTTTCGCTAGTTTGGGAAGCCTAACAGACGGCGACAACCGAACTGAAATCTCAACAGAACGTTCTTATGACCCCGCCCCCAACCCCAAGACATCCAACATAACCCAACTGAAATTCCCACGTAATTAGTTCTGACCTCCCAAGCTCCAAGGCCCCAAATTGAAGTTGCAAGAGGAGGCATCGTTACTATTGCTCCGCCGAGCCCCAAGACATGTCCAAAGCAGCGCGACACATCCGGGCGACCTGCGAAACAGCAATGTACTTCTGCTTTTGCATCTACTTCTACTTCTTCTACTTCTTCTACTACTACTACTACTACCAATACTACTACTACTACTACTACTTCTACTACTACTCCTACTGCTACTCCTGCTGCTACTACTACTACTACTACTACTACTGCCGCCACAGTACCACCACTACTGTTGCTGTGTTTTGCCATTAGTGCTGTTATGGCACCTGCTGCTTTAGCTACTGGTGCTGTGAATGCTGAGATTCCTGTTGTCATCCTAAGTGCTATCGATGCAACGCTAGTATGGCTTCTGCTGCCTGCAGTTGTTCTGTTATGCTTCTTAGAGTTATTCTGCTACCATAGATAACGGTCATCATACTCGTTACTTTCACGCCAAGGCGTGCTAGCCCCCTTCCTCCCCAACTCCCCTTCCCCTCTCCGAATGGCTGAAGATGTCCCCGCATTGACAGTGTTTGAGGCCTTGCTAGGCATCAAATGCGGTTAGAGGCAGTATTTTTAGGCCTCCAGAAAGCCCCGCAAGGTAGGTTGCCTTGAAAAAAACACTAAATTCAAAATGCAGCTGCCAAATTGATTTAGGGTCCCATTTGAGGTGCTCCTGGCATTGTGTCACCGAATGCCATGGACTCAGAAGGTACACATTCACTCTTGCTTGATGGAGCTTGGTATCGGGAGGTTGCCGCGATTTCAGTGGATCGCTGAAAATGTAGCCAGTGCATTTGGAAGAGCTGCTCGGCTTTCATGTCTCCGTAGCTTTTCCATCACGGAGGAGCAACTCTGACTTCAGGAAGATGAGATCCGACGCGTTGAAGGTACGGCCCTCAGCTCGCATTTGTGCGTCTATGCAAACTGCTCCTGGCAGTCTGTTCCAGGTGTGATACAGGAAAACCTCAACTACAAAAAGCTGACCGAGTGCCTTGGCTAAGAGAAGCATGAGCTGGCATCTCTGAAGCCCTTCTCATCGAGAGGTTCCTGGAAGGAAGAACCAAGCAGCTGGGAACCCAGCGAGCAGCGGATGCTGAGGGCCGTCCTCCCCTTGCATCCTGATGCATTCATGCCTCACCCCGCATGCGGACATTCCCCCAGCACTGAGACTGTTCACAGCAAGCTGTGGCTGTGGGGGAGGGTTGGGGAAATAAAACAGTGATAAAGTCGAGTGCAACAGAGCAGATGTCTTCGGTCCGGCTCGCACTGCAGGCACAGCAGGGGTAGCACCAGCAAAACTGCTGACTGCAGCAAGGGGTGAGGCAGCTGAGCTGTGTTAATTTCATGGAATCACCGCTACCCGAAGTATTGAAGACATTGTCTAGGCAGTCGCAGCCCCTGAACCACGGAAGCATGCGCCAGCTATGTTGTCCTGCCATGTTGTCCGGCCTCGGGTGGTCAAAGCTTTCCAGGGCAGCATGGCCGACTTCATCTGGAATTTGTAAGCTGCAGAAGGCTGCCTGCCGAGGCAGCACATTTTCTTCTTTTACCAGCGCCCCGATACCACCAACGAGCACCATGAACTTGTCGATGCGCACAAGGACGCTTCGATTCCACCAGACTCCTTTGTCCAGTGTCCTTCACATCATTTCAAACCTGTGCTGAAGTTCTGGCATTCGCTGGCTTCCTTCCTGCAAGCAGACTCCTGACTTCTCTGTTCACGTCATCTCCACGAAAACTGAGGGATAATTTGAGGGACGGATTCGAGAGCTGCGCGGCCTGTGGGTGAGACTTGTGGAAGGCGGTTTCAAATCGGAAAGCATCAAAAGGCTCCGTGAACCAACTGCGTGCCGTCAGCTCACAAGCCCGTTCTCCCAAGCCACCTCAGGCAATACAGACTGATAAGCCACACATCTTGCAAGGTGGCAGACGGGGTCAACGTTTTTAAAAGGGTCCCGCCGAGAGTCAGAGTCCCAACCAATACCTGCAGGACTGCAAGCTCACCATCACCACAGGCGAGAACGAGCGAATCAAAAGCTTCGCGGTGTTCCCCTCAGACTGGAAGGGCAAAATGAAGTATCCGTGGGCCAGGCAACTAGTGGATCTAGTGAATCCAGTGGGCTCTCAGGTATACTTCCTGAGGAATGTGCCGTTGCAGCCCCAGTAATCATGTGGCGAGTCGTCAGCCTTAAGTCGTTGGCCTTCAGGCAAGATCGAGCCATTAAGACAGATGTTTTCTCAGACCAGGACGCTTGGAAGAGGCTTGGCGCCAACATGCTGTAAGCACGAGAATGCAGCCAGGAGTTGCTCTTCGGGGAGGTGACTCCAAATCCTTTGGAGAGCCTAAGCGCTGTCTTGAGTATTTTTTGTGACCAGCATCAGCTGCAGCATATCCATGGCTTTCCTGCTGAGGCAGCACGCTTGCCACGGTCTTCCAGCCGATCGCTGCGCGTCAGGCCTATGAAGCTATCAAGTGCCCATACCCGAGAAGGTATCATCTCGAAGCCTGGCAGGAAGCAAACTGGGGCCAATGTGATGAGGAGCAGAAGGCTTGATTGCCCAATGGTGCCAGTCAAGCTGTTGAAATGACATGTTTTGCTGTCAGAACGATTTCCTAACGAGCTTTGAAAAGTTCACGTGCGAGCCTGAAGATGTTTTGGTGCACGCCATGCTTAGCCCTTCACCAGTGTGTTTGCTGCCGAAGTCTAAATGGGACGATAGATGCGTTGGGTTCATTGAGCCCAGCAGGGTGGAACTCTCCGAGTCAATCTCTGCGCTGAGCGGTGGTATCGCTTCCTCCTGAGCGCTGCGGCCGCTGCGTGTTCTGCATGCGCCGTCGATGTTCAAGCAAGTTGCTGTCAGGTCTTGCAAAAGGATTTGCCTTCTGCTTGGCGCTTATGCTACATACGCCTCATGGTCGCCAGCCATGCTGCGCAACGTACAGTTGTGCTAATCGGCGGCCATTTCCTTTGCCCTTAGGGCATCCTGCTGGATCCTGCCAGTCCTCAGTACCAGGACGGCTTGGGAAGGCTGTGCAGATTTGTTGTACTTCGAGGAAGCTGTCGCTGCATGTCGCTGCATGCTTCTGGCTCGACATCTCATGTCTAGCCTGGTGCATCATCCCAAATCGCTTCAAACCGCCAAATTGTGCGTCCTTCCATAAAACAAGAGGCTCGAACCAAGTGACACTTCCAATGGGTTGGACGTGTTGCAAGATTGTTATCCTAGCCCTCAAGCCGAAGCCTACGCGCGCTTACGCAGTTCGCCTTGCAATGCAGCAAGTAACGGCAAGGCCAGAGCTGAATGTGGCATGGTCATGTGCACCTCGGCACCTCGGTTGCAGGTCCCGCTGGTCACTTGTCTGGCTCCTCGCCGCCATCTGCAGTGCAGATCTGGCGGAGGTATCAGAGGGCTCGCTGGAGGTTGATCGGCCAGCGGAAATAGAACAGGCGAGAGATGGCGAAAGCTTTTCGTTTCTGGACAGAAGCTGCTAAAGCCGGCAACTCTTCAAGGATCAGGCGCCGAGACTGGTGAGCACGGACGTGCAGGCAGACTAGAGGGATGGGTATTCTGGCTGATGCTTCCCTTCCTTCTCTTCGGATCTCTTCGGTGATCAGCTCTTTTGCTTGCTTCATGTGCTAGCAGGTTGAGGCCGCAGATTTCACCAGTGAAGGCAGCAACGGAACGACTGAAGAGGACCTCCAGCCTGTAGAAAGCTTCGATGGTGAGGCCTTAGCTGGTGGTTGCTGGCGTTTGACAGGCTGTGCTGCCCCTCTGCAGGCAAAGCCAGTTTGCCATCTTTGCCCTATTCGACTTCTGGAGGTTGTTTCGAAGGACGGGTGCAAGGGTTCGGTTGGTTCTAGCAGCCCAGCGCCGATGCCTGTTCACAAACACGATTTACCACAAGCGCAGCCAGGAAGGTGGCAACGTGCCAGGGTGCTTCTCATCACAGCTCGGCTTAATGGGTTTGCAGTTTCACCTCTTACCGCCCCGAAGCTCCTGTTCATTCCGGCCATCTCAGCCTCCAATACACACACGGCTGAACATCATAGATTCTTAGGAAGGCTGGATCTTCTGTTCAGCATGTCATGAAACTTGAGCGGGCTACCTGCTCCCGGGTTTTTGATGGTGACAGAGACAAGATGCCTTATGTGGCCTCATGTTGAGCATGAATCGCCTTGCGCAATTGGGGCCCGCCCGGTTTTAGCAGATCTGTGTCCGGACTTTCTGCCAGTCGGCCATGCTCATGCGTGTAGATGTTGCGGATAATGCAGGATGAGTCTGGAGAGGCCCCAGACTTTCATGCTGAACATCCTGTGGCAGTCTCCGCACCCATGTGGCCGGTGCTTGCAATGCCCGTCGCAGGTCATGCCAGCAGGGCTGCAACTTAGTGAAGCCGGACTAGAGTACCTTGCTGCGCAGCGTTGCTTGGCAGTGTGTGAGTCATTCAGGCTACCGATCAGTGGGTCGAATCAAGTGTTCAGTATGGGTCCAAAAGCCTCATGCTTGCAGCCATAGGCTCACCGCTCTTTCTCGTGCGGGGCTTAGCCACTTCGGCATCAAGCGCGGTTGCGGATGACAAAGATGCAGGTGCCCGCGCTGGGTGTCTATCGTGGCGGGAAATCCCTCCTCCTTAATCGATTGATGGGACTCAAGGAGCACTGGGTGTGTTGCTCCTGTGTGGACGTTATGTATCCTGGGCTTGGGCTTGGTATTCTTTAGATGCACGAGGCGCCTTATCAGGGTGGATTTGGCGTTGGACATGGCCAGCAGACATACACCAGGCACGACACTTGTTTTGCAGAATCCCACTGCTGCGCATCTAGTGGTGATTCTTAGCCGTTTCGCTGTGCAAGGGGCATTGACATTTGCGCCGAGCGGACGTCCATCGGAACAGTGGCAATTACCCCAGGAGTGTCATTAGATGCGCAGCCTTCCCCAATACATACTTGTCGATAGATTCGGCTTCCAGCCAGACAACAGGTTTGGATGGACACGGAGGGTTTGTTCTCCTCAGAGGACTGCAGTTGCAAGCAGCACGACCTGGAGTCAAGGCAGCATTTCCCATCTTGCCACTGAGTTGTTGCACTTGCAGCGGTAAGGGTTATGCAGGACGCTCGAAGTTCATACGGGCCCAAAATCTTCAGCTTGGCGCTCCTCTTCTCATCCGCACCCTGCAGGCATAGCAGAACATGTGTACGGGGCTGTGCAGTCCCTTTCCACGGGTTGGTGCCGCCACATTGCAATCCACAGCTGACGGACTGCAAACAATCACGGCAGCGTGTGCAGACAGGAAAGATTGCACCTTAATGCTAGCAGTCTTCTTGACTCCCCAGCACGGACTTGATGCTAGGAACTTATAACAGAACCTAATTCTGAAGAGATACGTTGGCATGACCTGCGAAACTCGCTCAAATTTGACGGCAGTCCGAAACATGCTGTTCTGTTCCGCGGCTTAAGCAAGTAGCTCGGGAGTTTGTCACACATCTCTTTATATCTCTCTCTCCCTGCCGGTGATTGTTCCGCAGTTTTCAGCTGAGGCAGTCTTGCTCAACAATCTGAAGGCGTGATCTGAGCGTGCATGATGGTGATGATTGTGTGAGCCTCAGTACATGCAGGTGCTCAACCAGCAGTTCTTTGTTTTCTTTGAGGAACAGCAGCAGGCCTGACATGAAGCCGGCCGAGCATGGCGGTCTACGCAGCGTGTGATTTGCCAAATAGGTGGCGCGAATACTCAGAGAAGGCCTGCGCAGCGAAGGGCTTCAAAGTGGCTCAGTAGCAGCAACATTCCTTCTTGAGCTTCTCTGTTGCACAATCTGAAGCTGCAACCCAGGCGACCTCCTGCTTGCAGACAACCTGCCCCTTGCAAGGCTCTCACTGCAGAAGTTCGGCCAAATCTGCAAAGGATGGTTGGAATTGCTGATGCGGCTGTAAAACTTTCAAGTCTGCGCAGCAAGTCCTGTTTGCCAAAGTGAACACCATGAGGTCTGGGTTCTTCAGCAACCAATAAATTTCACCACAACGCCGGAGGCCGCCCAGATGTCCTCTGCACAAGCTAGCAGACATGGGTTCGTGGCTGCCTTTCCTCGACAGGCAAGCCAACAGCAGCTTGATTCGTTCATCACGATTCAGGTCCTGATCTATGGAATGCAGAAAGGATTTATCCTGAGTGTTCTACAAGGACCCCGCGCGTCAGAGGGTGCGGGAGGATTTTCGGCACCTGATCCACGAGGTCAAGCTGCTTTGGTGTTGTAACAAGTTCTCGTGTGTGTTGAGGATTAGCAGAGGTGCTTGGGATTTGCATCTTGTTGTGCATGGTACATGCAGGTTCCGACAGCCACCCATGACTCGCGCCAGTGGCCTATCCTGGACCGAGTAAATGATGAGGAGCTGCAGTGGGGACTTGGCCCAGGCTTGCTTCTGCTTTGCAGCAGTGATGACCTGAGTTGAAGGAACTCCTCCCTGAGTACATAAACGCCACGCAGGCGCTCCGTGCCCTCCTGCCCCTCGGGAAGACTTCAAAGGAACAAAACAGAGCTCGGATAGCTGGTTTTTTTCTAAAAAAGCTGAGGCTTACGGAGCTGCAGCGAGCGCGGCCCCTTCAGGTGAGCTCTTGCCAAGGAGTCTCCGAAGCATGCTTTCTTACACCGTATTGCCAGGCCGCGAGCATTGGTGCACATCTACGAATGTATGTTGACCTCGTCCAAAACGACCACTTCAGCGTATCCCTGGCTGGGCCCGTAAATCGCCAGCGTCGTCCCGCGAGCGATTTCCGTGCAGGCCAGAGAGGCTTTCGAGGATTCGCATATCGCGCAGCTTTGCGAGAGCTTTGCTTCACATTCAGAGGCCTTGGATGATCTGAGCGAAGATGAACGAAGAGACTTTGAACATTTTCTGCGGTTGTTTTGAGGCCTTGGCTGGACAGCTTCCTTCAGCAAAGCTTCCTGGAGCATTGGATTTGGCAGAGGAAGCTATTCAAGAGCAGCGGGACAAGGTGGTCAAGGACTCCCATTGCGCCAGGGGAAAGGGCTCGCAGACAGGTAGGTGGCAAGCATCTGAGTCCTGGGATTCCAAGGATGGCAAAACAAAGCAGATCTTTGCACGTTTTTTAATGGATGTTAAAGGTGTGTGTGTGTGTGTGTGTGACTGTCAGGAGTTCCATTTGGATGAGAGCTTCCTGCGAAGGCACGGCCCTTTTAGCTGGAGATGAGATGAAGATGAGCTAGATGATGCCAGATGCCAGGTTACACCACTGCCTCCAGAAGAAGCGAGAAGATTTGCAGACCATGAATTCAGAGCTAGCTCCCAGCCCCAATTGAAAGTGTGCCCTTGAAGCCATGAGGCTGGTTTCTGCCCAGGTTCTGGAAGAATGGAAGACCGAAGCTTTGAGCATCGAGACTTGACTGCTTAAAGGTTAAAAGCGCATTGCATTTAGTTCATTGCATGTAGTGGCAGTACTTGGCATAGCTCAGGCTGACTCCGGGGGGTGTTTCTTCTTGGGCACGCAGGTAGCCCAGGAACATCCAGGAACATCCAGGAACATCCAGGAACATCTAGGAACATCCAGGAACCAGGCACATGCTGCGTCTGACCAAAGTGGGACGACCAAGGCTGGCTAAGCGCCTGCCCATGTGACCTGGTAGGCTGCTCATTTGTAGCTCTGCGTAGTTGCTTGGATTGCAGGTACCGTGAGAAATATGGGAAAGCGTTTGATATCAAGACGCGAGCTGGAAGCTCGATTCGCTTGGGCTTGGACTCTCTCTGTCTCTCTTGTCAAGCCCGCATGCTCCAGCTCTCAAGCTGAAAGGCAAAAGCCCAAGAGTATGGATCTGACCTGCAGCGCGCGCGACTGACAGGGTGCATGCCCTTAGACACTTGCCAAACGATGGTGTTAAGGCTAAGGCCGTGCCCCAACGTGTCCAGGTGCGTCCACCTCCATGATTTTCTGCTTCCACTTGCTCCATGGTGGCTTGGCATGGCTTGGCTGGATGTTAGGCCTGGTAGGACGCTTGAGTGTGCATTGTTGCGGTTACAAGGCTGGCATGGCCTGTCGGGATCCCAGGCCTTCGTTTAGCCTGGGTCGGCCGCATTTTACCCGCTCAGGTTGCAAGTCTGTATCTCAGGTGCGACGCTGGAAACGCGATTGATGTCTGTGCAACCGCGTCTTGAAACTCTGTTCCTGACGAGGCAGGGACTGGTCTCAGGCGTGCTGTCGATGATCCTCCATGGTATCGTTCTTGCAGGCAGGGTTTTGCGTTGTCCCTCCAGCTCCAGTGCTGGGAGCACCCGTGCATTCCGCATGCAGGAGTTTATACGATGCTTCAGTCACCCGGCACGAACTATAAAGGCCCTTAGGCGGGCAGAGACGTAGAATGCAATCCTGCGCAAACTCTCTACAGATGACAGGTCATAGTCCGGCGTACGCATGAATAGTCTTGGCTCCATAACAGCTGGTTTCTTGACAAGCCCTACTATGCGCTATCTTGCACAGCGACAGCCTCATACTACTTGAAGGTTCATGAACCAGCTGCCACCGTATTTGGACTTGCACTACCAAGTCCTGAAACATCACCCAGGCGGTGCCGACGGCCTCCTTAGATGCAGCATGGCTTTGCTTGCATATCAGAGTTTCAGATTTTTCAGCGGAGGTCTCCGAAGCCTGGTCATGCGAGCGCCGTGTGGGGCCTAGGAATGCAACCCAATTGTATTCGCTGTGCAGTTCATGAGACTTGACAAATGGATTCAGGCAGACAGTGCCGTGGAGCACAATCTCCAAAGTCTTTGGGATGATGGGAGCTCTTCACAGTGCGGGATTCCAAGTCCTAAGCTGCCCACATGCCCAGTGCCATGGCTTCAGATGAGGCTTGGCGGCTGCTCACCAATTTATCACAGATGTTGAGGCCATACCTTGCAACAATTACATGACCGTCTGTATCCGTGATGTAGTGTGAACACGGCATCAATAACCAGGTCTCTCAACCACGGCAGCCCGATAGGCTTGCAGCTATTACGAAGTGTACATGCTGATCATGAGAAGAGTGTGGCTATTGCCTTTGACAAGGGCAGCTGACAAATCTGGAGTTGAAGTTGAACATGATCCTTGAGCGCTCCCAGGCGCTCAGCTGCATGCTTGAAAGCGGTCGAATGCGGGGTCCTGAAAGTACAGGCAGACATGAAGAAAACCATCGTCATGTCAGCGCTGGAAGCTGCTGTTTACATTGACAGTCGAAGCCTCGCTTCGGTGGGCCAGACCTCACGCCGAATGCCCCTGCAGTAAAGGTTCTGATGCTCCAGCTGCTGCGCTGGCAGGGGGCACAGACAGAACAGTAACAGCGACCGGCTACCTGCACATGTTTGCAGCTGTAAGATTTTCAAGCCCTCAGTCTTTTCTCCAAGAAAGCATGTGTGACACTCCGCTGCTGAAACTGGGCTCACAGTCACGTCTGCCGGGCGTTGGGAGTTGCCCAAGGCCAGTGAATGGTCCAGGGATATCCACGGCCGGCGTGTAATATGGCAGACAGTCGTTGTTATGATCCTCTGACTTCTGAGAGGCACTCCCGATGCGCAGAAGCCGCCTGAATTTTGATACCCAAAATGCTGCTTCCACCTGCTGAACCTCGGCAGCACTGCTGAACAATGTGACTGGCAGAATCGCGGAGCTGTATGGTCAACCATGCGGTTTTGTGTGTGCCAGCTAACTCGCAGGTTGCCCGTGTGTTAGACGTGGACACGGCTGACCACGAGACAGTGCCCATCCTGTGGACAACAAAGCCACATGCAAAAGCACGCCTTACCCCACTGAAATCTGCTCGACAGCTCTGTGGCAGCAAGATAGACTGTCTCTTTTTTGTGAGAGGTGTTGTAGCAAGTTTCTCACGCCACGTATTGTTTGCAGTAATGGGATGCATGCTTGGGACGTGAGGCCGGATGACGAGGTTGGGGGGCCTTGGCCAGCCGTTTTTTAGACGGGTCAGATGGACACGTGCCCTTGTCGCATGGCACCAGATCAAGATCATCGTGCTCAGTGCTGGCGGGAAGCGGCGGCGGCAGAAAGGTAGACGAGGTGCTTTGCTGGGAAGTATTCCGGAGCCTGAGTGTGAACATGCCTGGGGTCAGGCGAATTGGCCTCTCCATCTCCGCCGCCTTTGCCTTTTGACTTCATCCAGTGTACTAAGTGACCCCGGAGAGTGCGGACCTGTTGGAGTTGCTGCTGCTTCACCCCATCTTGCGCTCGCTTTGGAAGATGGTAAGAGTAAGGTGCAGTGGGTCTGTGGGACAGGTCTTTTCTGCTCTTCTGCCATGTAGTGCGAGCGGAATTTGCAGCAGTGAAGAGCTGTGAGGCATCGTGAGCCTGGCTTATCGAGTCACCTGGCATTAACAGAAAGGCATGGCCAGAATTGGCCTTCTGCCAAGGATGCCATGGTGCAGCTAGCCGACAGTATCGCTTCAAATTGCTATACGGCTTGTTGTCACTAAGGCGAGAACGGGCTCATGTATATTGAGCACAACTTTACCATGACAAAGCCGTCAGGCAATCAGCCTTCACAGGACGTGGGCCCTTCCACCAAATCCGTTCAATTCCATTCAGTTCAAGCTACGCAGCTCCTTCATAGTTTGTGAAGAAGAGTGGGGAACGGTTTAGCTATCATTTTCGGGGGTCAGTTTGTGGAGGACAGGAAAGCAACCTAGTCTTCAACATGCCCGCCCGTGATGACTTGAGAACATTCAATGCTAAGTGCGTTGCAAGAAGCTCATGTTTGGCAGTACGCTAGCTGCCTAGCCACAGCGGGAGGAAAGTCAGAAGCATCTCAAAGACGAAGTTGGCCGTAGCCTCTACGGTGCTCCGTGCTGCATGTTTGTTCGATCCTGCATATTCATGAACGTGAGCTGTCGACCAGTCAATGCTGAGTAAGAAGCTCCAGGTCCTGGGTGGCGGCGGCTGGCAGTCCCAACTGAGCCTGCTGCTACGGTAGCCCAGCGAGCTTACGAGCCTCCGAGAAGAGCGCCTGAACTAAAGCAGAACTATGCAGAACTGATTCTGAGATGTGAGCTGAAGCTCTTTCAATCTATTCAGGTGCCTGCTCCACCAAAACTGCCACGTCCGAAAAGAAGGCGGCCAAGGTCCAGAGCAGAGAAAGACACGGAAGTGATGGAGGAGAGGATGCCGCAGACTCCGCTGGAGCCCGGCGAACCGAAAGAGTCGGAGGCGTTACAGGAGGATAACCTGGAGGCCGCACTACAAGAATTGGATGGTTTTGAACCCGTGGAGTGGTCGGAAGGGGACGAGGTTGCTCAGAATGTGGATGTGGGAGCGCATGAGCTCCTGAAGGAGCGCCCCACCAAGATTGCGATAGTGATGGTGCTGAACGCCTTATTGCTGTCTGCCTTCCTCATTCACTCTCTCTCTCTCTCTCTCGTTCTCCCCTTCCTCTTGCTGACCGTTTGCTGATGTCAATCGCCTCAAAACTACGTGTCCCTCTACCTGCAGCCCTGTGTCCTCTCCCTCTCCTCGCCTCCTCATGTAGGAGGATGCCCAGCCACAAGAGCACGCGGGCAGCAGCTTGAGCGTCTTGGCAACCGACCGCAAAAATTCACAAGGTTAAAGCCATAGCGTCTAAAGTATTCTGTTTGGATACTTGGGTTGACTGGTTGATCAATGTTGCTTTCCTGCAAGCTTAGGAGACACCTTCATGAAGATCTTAGTGCAGGTGCTGAGGGAAGAGGTTGCTTCGGCCGACCTTCAACGCAGAATTAATCATGCCGTTGAAGCTGAACTGGCCAAAGTCTTGGACATCGATGAGTCGGCCCACTTGGTCTCGTGCCCGGATGCTTGGCATGTCATGTGAGGATGCGCGAGTGCGCTGTTAGGACATGCCAAGAATGAAATCTGCATGCTACAGTCATCATCACAGTCCAACGACACCGACACTTTTGTGTCTCACCTACTTGTTGTTCATGTGGACCAGCGCGAGCCGGAGGCTTCAGGAGCCCCAGCTCATACGGTCATTCCAGCCGCCCAGAGATGCCCAGAGAGTCGGAGCTGGGCAGTCACCAGTACATCCGCCAAAAAAAAACGGAGGCGTGAAATAGGTGAGTGGGACAGGGCAACTTTTTTTCTTTTCTGTTGTGGCCCTCTTGTTGTTGGGACATAACGAACCCAGGCAGGCCAGCAATTAAGTGAGCGGACCTGGTCCTGCGCCACACTAGCAACAAAAAATCACGCCCCGCCACAACAGCAAAAAAGACCCCCCCCCGCACTTCCGCCCCACCTCCCCCGCCACAGCAAAAAAATCGCCCCCTGCCACAACAGAATGCCAACTTGACTACAAAACATGCCAGCTGAACTGGCTCTCTTGCACAGCAGAAAAGGAAAGGTTCCAACTTTCAAAATTGATGGATCAAGCTGCGCCAGCGGCACCCAGGAACTGGTCTGCAGGTACGTTTACCTGTCTCCACGACAAAAAATCGTTGGCGCGAGCTTCGTCATAGGACTTCGCGCCCTCTGCATTGAAAAAACTGAGCTGAGCACGAACTATGTTTAAGAGAGCTGAGCAATGGAGAAAACACCCGTGTGGTGGTGGGGCTCGGGGCTCCTCACACACGTCTTGGGCACCAACAAAAGTTAAATGATGAAGAACGGAATAGGAGCTTCTAGGTCATCGTCCGGAGTGGCTTAGGAGAACTCAGAAACCAGGACTAAATTCCTGCACCACTGGACAAGTGAATCAGGATCGGAGCAATGAAGCTGCATCAGGTACCATCAGCAAGAAGGCCTGATATGGGCAAGGATCATAGCACCTGTAATTGCTACTGCAAAAGAATGCATGCAGATTTTGCCCACGTTGGCCACGTTGACCTTCAAAATTACATGTACTGTGCAACTTTCACAGGAGTCGACGAGTCTTGCTAGGGGTGAAAACTTGACATGGCTGAGTGGCCTTGAGCCGGTGTGCTGGCCATCTCATTGGACATGTCAGCTGCTAGGTTACGTGCAGTGCGCAGTACCTCTGGAGAAGGTGGTCTCTCATGAGGTGAGACGAGACTGGATTCCCTCCATATCGATCTCAACTCTCACACCGACTGCTACGCCTCACGAACTTGGCTCTGCAACAAATCCAACTGACTTTGTTGGATGTAATGGCCGTCACGTTCTCGGGTGACAACACTACTGAGGTCCCAATGACCAAGAGTTCCGCTTGCGCAGCATGCATATACCACTGCATTCCAGCCGGGGGATTGTTACAGTCCATGGGTACAGACCTAACCAACTACCAACACTGTGAAACTGCTCGGCTTGAAATGGGTAGATAGGAAGTGGACAAGTGCATCATTGTGCTACGCTTGCAGACCAGAGGGAACTACCAGGAGCGAGAGATTTCTCATACCGGCAGGCGAAGGTGGCGAACCTTAGCAAGCGTCTTATCCAGTTTTTTCTGCAGGCAAGCCAACCATGGAGGGGAGAGACGCAAGTGCTGGTTCAGGAGATAATAAGATCTGCGCGGGAAAAAACATTGCTTTCCAGAAAAGCTGCGCCCATGCGCGCGAACACCTTATTGCCAAGGGTTACGCTGCCCCTGACGTGGGAGATGCTCGCCTGCCCGCTCGCCTGCCCCGCAGGCCGCCGGGGATAAGCCAGGCGATCACCTTCGGGGTTGGCAGTGTCATGCTGCCCAAGCCTCTGATGAGTGCGCGCGTGAGACGCATCTTGCTGAACTGTCTCTCGCGTCCCGTGCGCTGCTGCTCTCACAGGCCGGACCCCCGGTGGTGGTCCTGACATGTCCTGACAATGTACCACCAAATGAGAAAGAAGTTTCTTCAGTCGCACCATTTCCCACCATGCGAGTGCTGCCTGATGAACTGCTCTCAAATGATGCGGCTACTGTTCGTGAACAAGCTGCGACCACGAAGAGAAGGACACCGGGAGTTTGTGATGCTTCCACCATCGCGGTATGTAAGTCCAGGACGATTTTAAGACGTGTTCTTTACCCGGATACTGGGGAGGCCAGACTGCAAACAAAATAACCTCCCCCGCCTTAACAGAAAAGAAAAAACACACAGCCGCCACAACAGCAGAAAACGCTCTTACCTCTTACCGTGACAACGGTTGCCTCCTCTGCATTCTTCTGTCTTCGAACGAGGCAGACTGATGGGAAGGAGGCTAGGTTGCTCGCCCGCAAGGCGCCCAGGAAACGTTACTCATCTGCTCCTCCTGGTCACGGGGAAATCAATACCACCGCTCTTGGGATACCGCGCTGCGATAAGTGGCGTTGCTCAACTACTCTTGAGGAGGTTCCTCGCCACCTCT